CAAGGAAGACGCAGGGAACAGCACGGGAGGACAGCTTGTCCGCGGAAGAATCGCGGACAAAAGCTCGAGATCCCCAGACACGGAACACAGACGCATCGCCAACCTTCCCCGTCCACCGCAGAGCAGGTGTAGTCTCCGGCACAGAGACACGAGGCTGGAGGTTGAGCTGATGCGCAGCGTACTGGACCGCGAACGGCCACCGAAAATGGGGAGCAGCCGCATGGATCATGGACGTGCGAGCGACGTCCATGACCATGCCAATGCGGCGCTCAGCAATCCCATTTTGCTGTGGGGAGGCCGGAAGCGTGAACGTCTTGCGGATGCCCTTCGCACGACAGAAAGCCCGCAGAAGGTCGGAGGAAAACTCACCACCTCTGTCGGAGTGCAGACGCAGAACAGGAAGGTCCGAGCCGAAACACTCGCTGAGCTGGTGACGGGCAGCGCGGATCCAGTCGATCAACACCTCAGTGACCTCACCCTTGCGACGCAAGGGGAAGACTGTGGTGTAACGCGAGTAGTCGTCAACGACTTGCAGAAAGTAACGCTCGTGACCCTGTCCACGGACGCGGGCTGGGCCCCACACGTCCATGTGGAGAGTCTGCAGGGGAGCCTCCGTCGGAGGGAACTCGGAGGAGTGAGGAGCGGCGCGCTGCCGTCCCTCGACGCAAGGAACGCAGGTAGGGGCAGGCCCCGGTGGGAGGGGAGGGAGAGACCGGGGGAGACCAGAGACAAGGGTACGGGAGGCCATACCTCGGAGACGAGGCAGAGAGGGGTGACCAAGGCGGTGGTGCCAAAGGAGAGTCTCGTGTGACAGAGTACGACACGAGCAGGGGGCAAACTCCGGACCAGACCTGGACGTGGCAGCAAACACCTGACCAGACGCGGCTACCTGACCAGACGCAGCAACTGGAGGAGACTCAGTAGTCAGTGTGTACAGGCTCGACCCAGGCAGACGGGTGAACGTGGCCAGGTGGCGGCCCGTCCGAGTGCACGTACAGTGGGTCACACGCTGACCTCCAGGAGTGAACTGGTCAACCCACACGTCCTGGAGGTCAGCTCCACTCACCAAGTTCGTAGAGAACGAGGGGAGGTGAAGACCCGACAGTGAGCCAGACGGGGCCGCCGGACACGGCAGAACCGTGGAGGAGTGCACAAGGACTGGGCCCCCAGAGGGGTCCACCAGGGAGACTGCAACCGGCCGACTGAGCGGCGTGAGTGTGGTGCTGTCGCGAAAGAAGGAGCGGGAAGCACCTGAGTCAAGCGTGAAGGTGTGCAAGGCCTCAGTAGGCGCAGTACCAGAGAGAGCAGACTCACCAGCACCTAGAGCAGCAGACTCACTAGCACCTAGAGCAGCAGCCTCTATACCTGGGTCGGGCGGCACACACAGGTAACAGTCATCCTCAGCACGTCTCTGAGACGCCCAACGCTGAGCAAACCACTCACGAAGCTGCTGGGGCATAAGGGTCTCACGTGGACGCCGCTGCAGCTGCACCGGGCCACCTCCAGAAACTCCCAACTGAGTAGCTGCAGGGCGACTGCCACTACGGCCGCCGCCACAACCCCAACTAGCGTACCACTCACGAAGCTGCTGGGGTATAAGGGTCTCACGCGGACGCCGCTGCAGCTGCATCTGGCCACCGCCAGAAACTCCCCACTGACCAGCTCCAGATCGACTGCCACTACGGCCGCCGCCACAACCCCAACTAGCGTACCACTCACGAAGCTGTTGGGGTGTAAGGGTCTTATGCGGACGCCGCTGCAGCTGCATCTGGCCACCGCCAGAAACTCCCCACCTCACAGCTCCACAGCGACTGCTACGACGACCGCCACCACTCCCACTGCTGCCGCCACCGTCGCCACCACTCCCACCGCTGCCGTGAAGAGAAGTCATGCGACCAGCAGGGCAGCACGTAGGGAAGGAAGGGCGGCGAGGAGGCACTAGGGTAGGTCGGGGCGGTGCACGGTCAGGGAAGGGCGGCGCGCGGCCAGAGCAGGGCGGCGCGCGGCCAGAGCAGGGCGGCGCGCGGCCAGAGCAGGGCGGCGTGCGGCCAGTAGCAGGCAGTAGCTCCTAGGGCAGAAGCACCAAGGGTGTTTTTTTTATTTATTAATTAATTTATTTATTTATTTTAGGGTTGAGCAGGGCGCACAGGGCGCTGCAGAGGCGGCTCGAGAAGGGCAGGGCAGGGCGCCAGTGCGCGCAGGGCAGGGCGCTGGCGCGTTGGCAGGGCAGGGCGCTTGCGCGGGCAGCAGCGCGCACGGGCAGGGCGGCGCTAGGCAGCGAGTGCAGGCCCGCGGCGGGCGCAAAACGCAGGCACGGCGGGCGCAAGGGGCGGGCCCGCGGCGGGCGTAGCGGACAGGTGCGGGAGGGGCGAACGGGCGGGCCCGTGACGGGCCGAACGGGTAGGCGCGGCGGCGCGAAGGCAGGGCCCGCGGCGGGCCTAACGGGCGGGCGCGGCAGCGGGCGTAACTGGCAGGCGTGGCGGCGCGAAGGGAGGGCCCGCGGCGGGCCTAACGGGCAGGGGGTAGGGCGCGACGCGCAGGGCAGTAGGGCGCTACGCGCGGGCTGCAGCAGGGCGTGACGCGGCAGGCGGGCGGGCGCGGCGGCGCGCTTAGTAGGGCGGGCGCTTACCAGGGGCAGGTGCAGGGCAGGGCCGCGACGGGCGGTTAGGTCAGGGCCGCAACGGGGCGGCTGTAGGGCAGGGCCGCGACGAGGCGGCGGCAGAGCAGGGCCGCGACGGGGCGGCAGCAGGGCAGGGCCGCGACAAGGCGGCTGCAGGGCAGGGCCGCGATGGGGCGGCGGTAGAGCAGGGCCGCGACGAGCGGCTGAGGGCAGGGCCGCGACGGGTGGCGGCAGGGCAGGGCCGCGACGGGCGGCGAGGTCAGGGCCGCAACAGGGGGCGGCAGGGCAGGGCCGCGACGGGCTGCTAGGTCAGGCCGCGACGGGCGGCTAGGTCAGGCCGCGACGGGCGGCGACAGGGCAGGGCCGCTACGGGCGGCAGTAGGGCAGGGCGCGCGACGGCGCAGGTGAGGCAGGCGCGAGGCGCGCTTCGGGCAGGGCAGGAAAAATATCGTGGTGGCCCCTAAAAAAAAAACGTTCCCACTAGGGAACCTGCTCTGAAACCATGTCAGAAACGAGAAGGAAAGAATGACTAGAAAGAGAGCAGTACAAGGTTCGTATAGCAAAACCTATTTTGGGCTGTACCCCATAAGGAGTGCCCCACTACAGCCTAGAGCATATATGCATAGTTTTGACATCATGTGAACCCAACTAGAAGGGGGGGTTCACAATTTTGCCTATTGGATTTAAGAGGGCTGTAAGGGTGCATGTCCTTGGGAAAAAAATGTAAAGTTTATTTATATATATAATTAAAATTTCAGATATATAATTTAATTTTCAGTGTTGAACCTAGGTCGAACGTGTACTCAACCATCTCGTAAAATTATGGTCGAACCGCATGCCCACAATTCAGGTCAATCACATTGCAACAACGAGATTCAAATTTTGAGTTTCGACCATATAGGGGAGGAACCGAGTTGCGTATTGGGTTTGTAAGTTATCCGGTTTAGGCATATTGACGTGGTGCTTCTTTGGTAGTGCGTATGATGACGTACGTTTTGTTTGCCGATTCCGCAAATTAGTCGAAATTGCGCAAAAGTGGACACGTTTGGAAAAGCGTGCACGCGTATGTTCAATTCTAGACTCGACCCCATGTGTATGTCATTGGTGTGTCATTGATGCGGTCGAAAGTTGGCGAATGTTGCTAAATGCGCTTTGCGACATGTGCGAAAAGGGTTACCAGCTCTAGATCGAATTTTTTTCAAACACAATTTCCGAAGGACAGAGGCTCTAAGTGAGGCCCAAATAGAGTATTTTTAAGGTCGAAAGCCTACGGAATGAAGGCGGTCTGGCAGTCCAGTGAAAGCGTCAGTGACAGCTAAGGCTGGGACGATGAGTAAGATGGATAGAAACAGGTTTTGCAGCCACTCATTGGCAAGGAAACTGATAGGAAAACTGGAAAGTTGACGTATGAGAGTGTACAAGAAGGGGCCGCAGGGGCCTCATTGACGTACGCCAGAAGAAGACTCAGATGTGTGAACCGCTAGGTCGTTGCGGTAACCAATGGGTGAAGGGGAGGAATAAAAAATGCGTTACAAAGGAATGAGGGAAAAGGAAAGGGGTGGGGCAAAGGGTTTCAAACATTGCAGTCCTGTTGAAACAGCTGGAGGCATTTGCGACGTCAAGTTGGAGCATTGCCCAGTCGGGATGGAGAGATAATTCGGATTGTATATCTTGCGACACCACTTTTATACTGGCTTGAACTGTGATCCCGAACTGTAGGCAGGGGAGGATTTTGTTTCACATCTGCCGTTTTAACATGAGGGAGATGCAATGAGAACAGAGACGTGGGAGAATCTCAGCAATAGCAATTAGCCAGACAAACCTTTCGGCCTTTTCAAGGTTACGAGTGTGTTATAATGTAGAACTGAACGAGAATGAATGAACTAGGCAGCAGGGTGATACAAGTAGGAAACCCTAGCAATGTTGTACCCCCTAAGGCTAAACCCACCGGGTTCCAACGCCATCAATGTACTGGACCAGTCAACGTGCTTGGCAAACTATGCTGCTCAATGAAGGCGCGCCTGGGTGGCTGCAGAGCGAGTTGAAGTTTTCTTGAGTGGGCGAGCAACAAGAGTAGCAGAGGCAGGCGCTTTGAGGAAAAGAGCATGCCAATCTGAATTGTTTCGCGGAAAGTGCGCAAGCTGCAATGAACGATTGCGAAGGGGCTGCAGTAGTCAAGCGAAGGTCAATGTGCAGGAAAACAAGCAATATCAAGTAGGCACATGCGTCAGATCGGAGCTACGCGAGCTGTTGATGGGGACCAAGTCGTCGAGCACAAGGCGAATGCGAGGAGGGTTGGAGGAAAGACTGTAGGGCTAAAGAATTCGGACCAATCCCACCCAAGAATCACATCCCAAGTGGTGGAAGGGATTGCTTGCAAATGGGGGGAAGGTCCAGCTGCAGTTTGAGTGCATGCAGAGACAGGTCGAGTAGGAGGACAAGCAGGGTGCTGTCTTGTAGTAGGATGATGTCAGCAGACAATCATATAGCAAGTCAAAGCGTTTAGGGTTGGTGAACGGACGGCGACATGTAGGCCCAGAAAAAGAACGGGAGCTGGGGGAGGATTGCTGAAAGAAGGAACGGAAGGGGAAGTATAAGGGGCTGGGGGAAGGGGGGGAGGGGGGTTCGAGGAAGGAGGAAGGGGGTTCGAGGAAGGAGGAGGGGGGTTCGAGGAAGGAGGAGGGGGGTTCGAGGAAGGAGGAGGGGGGTTCGAGGAAGGAGGAGGGGGGTTCGAGGAAGGAGGAGGGGGGTTCGAGGAAGGAGAAGGGGGGTTCGAGGAAGGAGGAGGGGGGTTCGAGGAAGGAGGAGGGGGGTTCGAGGAAGGAGGAGGGGGGTTCGAGGAAGGAAGAGGGGGGTTCGAGGAAGGAGGAGGGGGGTTCGAGGAAGGAGGAGGGGGGTTCGAGGAAGGAGGAGGGGGGTTCGAGGAAGGAGGAGGGGGGTTCGAGGAAGGAGGAGGGGGGTTCGAGGAAGGAGGAGGGGGGTTCGAGGAAGGAGGAGGGGGGTTCGAGGAAGGAGGAAGGAGTTGTGGGGGAGAGGGATGTGGCAAAACGAGGGAATGAAGGATGTGGGGGGTGCGAGGAATTAATGGTATCTGTGATGACGTTTTTGAGGACCTCTTATGTTTTCGAAAGACACGAGAAGGCCTCGCATGAGGCCGAATGTTGTGTTGAGGAGAGCCAGAAAGAGGGGACTGATGTTGGCTGGTGGTTGGAGGAAGGAAGTGTCGATGAGGATGGGGGAGAAGGCACGGGAACTGTAGCAAAAGTAGGGGATGTGCAGTGGACATGGACGGAGGTTTGGAGGCCGGATCCTCTTGCAGGAATGCGGAATTTCAACTTTTAGGTGACAACTTAGCATACGAAGGCACCGCAAAATAAATAATGCATAACTCAACGGGGGCGTTCCGAGAATCGAACTCGGGACCTCTCGCACCCGAAGCGAGAATCATACCTCTTTATTGACACTATAGTAAATGTACAATGGATACAAGGCAAATCCAGAGACGTAGTGTATGGAGAGACATGCAGGCTAATCCTATTGTGAGGCCTACAAATAGGCCTCTGTGATGTCTCAATGGTCCTCTCCCAAGTAGGCAAAGTCAGCTGCAGAAAGAGAAGTCACCTCGGGTGGTGCGTGGTTGACGCCCTCGGTAAAACGAATTTGTGCACGACGACAAACAGTGCGAGCCTGCTCACGTTGATGGACCAGAGAAATCCGTTTGTAGAAGTTGGTCTCAAACAGCTGGGGAAGAGAATCTGTGGCACCACTCAAGTCGCGGAGTTGTGACGCCCCTTTGCGGCTGCATTGGCGAAGGAAGTTGTTGAACGAAGAGCCGAAGCAACCAAAGGTTTCGATGACAAGGGGAAACAGTTTGATGTCTGGACGGTCACGAAGTGCTGCAGCATAGTGGGTGGTCTTCTCACTTTCACGAGTGGCTGCTGCTGAACCAATCACCGTAGCTGCGTTGGAGTGCGGAAACCCCTTTTGTGGATCAGCAACAGAAACATCCAAGGCCCAGGTGGTACCAGAGCTAATATCGCGGCAAGTGATGTCTGTGCGGCGGCCAGGCAGGAGATGCTGGTCTTCCATCTGCGCAGAGAACCCAAGCTCCAAGGCAATGCGATGAACTTCTCGTTTGATTGCGTCGTGCACCTTAGTAGGCTCGTTGTTGCTAGGGCAGCGAAGGACATGAGAATGGATGGAAGGATCGGTGAACGGGAAGTTGCAGGTGCAGGTGAGTGAAGATGAAAGGTGAGGAAGAGGAAGGCCTAAGCGGATAGCTGCTGCAATGCGCCATTCAGTCTCTGAAAGCTGCATGTGCGGGGAGGATGGAGCCACAGTGAGCCAGTCACCTGCATGCCGGCCCTGCAAAGAGGTTAGACGAGCAAGGCGAAGCGGGGACGTTACTGTGGCTCGAACCTTCTCCAGCAAATCGGCTTCGAGGTGTTGGGAGAGATGAGTAAAGAGTTTAGGAGGGTAGCCCGATTGAAGCACAAGCCATCATGGGAAGCGATCACGAATGTCTTGGGGAAGCATGGTCATGGTGGATGAGATTGAAGGGTCGAGGAGGTTAATGGAGTCCGTGGTGACGTAAGGGCGGAAAAGAGGAGCACCATCAGCGATGAAGTGGGTGGATAAGGTCGAAACTGTCTGCGCCCAGCTACAAAGGTAACTGAGGGGGGCGATGGATGCAGAGCTGCGAATGCCGAAGCCACCTAAGCGGATAGGGAGCGAGGCTTGGAGGCGGGCCGATGTGGACTGTTCAGAGGTGGGATTCCAGTACTCAGAGCCCAGGAGCTGAGAGAAGTGGCTGAAAATGGTGCAGTCCCATGAAGAAAGTAGCTCTTGGATTTCGGGAAAAGGTGCGACAGTTCGGAGGAGGAAAGAAGGTCGGGCAGTGATGCATAAGGAAAGGATCCGTGAGGCAATCTGTGGGTCCTGCAGTTGATGCAGTAAGGGGAGGGAGGAAGTGAAAGAATCGAGTTTGTCACGAACTGTAGAGATGATGTAACCGTCGGAGCCGGTAGGAACGCCAGCGACAGTGAGACCGTTTGCAGCGATGGAAATACCCGGGGGCGGAATGCAGTGTTCGGGCAGGTCCATAGGGGCCCATAGAGAGCACTTAGAGGGTTGGACTGTAAGGCCGAGAGAGAGAAGGCGGGAGGTAAGGTCAGTGTATGCGGCAAAGACGTCTGAGGGAGGGCCGACCAAGTAGGTATCGTCTGCGTATGAGGTAATGAAAATTGAGGGAGACTGCTGCTGGGTTGGTTGGATGGCTAGCTGCTGTGTTAGGGCATAAAGGAAAGGGCCACAAGGGTCGCCTTGACGAACACCAGAAGCTGATTGGAATGTGTGGAGAAGGGGGCCGCTGCGGTAGTGGAGAGGTGAAGGGGTGGGGTAGAATAGGCGGAAGAAGGGAATGAGACTGGAGAATGGGGAGCGCCTTAATGCCTCAAACATGGAAACCCGGTTGAACGAGTTGAACGCGTTTGCAACGTCCAGCTGAAGCACCACCCAGTCTGGATGAAGGGAGAAGGCGGAGCACACTGCGTGCGACATAATCTCGATCCCGGCCGGAACTGCTACGCCAAATTGAAGGTGAGGAAGGAATGTCTCTCGAATCTGCTGCTTAAAAAGGAGAGTGATGCAGCATGAAAGGAGGCGTGGTAGCACTTCCCCAATGGCGATGGGACGTACACCACCATGCAGTTTCTGCAGGGCCACGAGGTTCGAAGCGGTGTAGAAAGGCCTGACTGCGGGCGGAAGGTCACCCTGCAGCCAGTTCTGGAATACGTGGAGGAGAGAAGGGAGATGCTGCTGGTGAGAAAGAAACGTGTCCCTGAGGTGCTCAATGAACCACCCAGAAGGTCCAGCAGCTGTGCCACGGGGGGCGGACTGTAGAGCGGCATGGAGAACAGGGACGGTAAGCTGTGGTGCGGCTGCAGGAGTGAAGGTGTGTACCCAGTCAGGAATCTCTGCTGCAGCAGGTGGGTGCTTGGAGCTGAGGGCAACAACTGTTTCTGATGATGGAGGAGCTAGCTCGCCAGCTTCCAGTGCTGCCAGTGACCGCGACCAATCCCCGCATTTTGCAAACCGCTTCGCACGGTTGAGACGAGCCTGCTGCGCTGTAGAACGTGCTGAAGCCATGTGCAGAGGTCTAGCGGCTGGAGTGGCTGCAGCTACGGCTTCGCTGAAAAGAGAGTGCCAGTCACCAGTGATGAAGCGGCGCGCTAAGGCAGCACATGAAGAGGTAAGGGGCTGTGTGGGAGCAGCGGCAGAAGGTAGGTGCAGTAGGAGACGCGGAAATGCCAAGAGAATGAGGTGTGCAGCGACGTCAGAAGGATGTTGTGCAAGGCGGCGCAGTGGAATGAGAAGTGCATCGAGAATGAGTAGTCGGATGCGGGAGGGGATTCGGCGGAGAATAGGGCCAGGTGAGACTGCCGGGCTGAAGAAGGAAGGCCAATCCCAGGAAGGAACGGCCTCCCAAGTGGCTTGAGGAATTGCAGGTCGATCTGCGGCTGCAGGCGCCGAGGTTGGGGCTGATGAGCGGGGAGGAGGAGGGCGAGCAGCTTGCTGACGTGTGGCGGTGTTGCGAGAGCAGGCTGGAAGGTGACGGGCCAACGAACCTGAGTTGGCAAAGGTGCGTCGACATGTGGGGCAAGAATTAGGAGGTAGTGGGTTATCGGAGGTTGATGAGGGCGGGCAGGGTTGCGGGCATGGCTGCGTAGAGTGAGGGGTAGGGGAAGGAGGAGGGGGATCTCGAGAAGGTGAAGCAACAGTTTCATAGTGTGATAGTGGGTGCGTGTTGTCGGCAGGGGCTGTGGGATTAGGAGCATCTGCTGTAGTCGTCGGTGGAGGTGTTGAGGTAGATGAAGGATGGGCACGGGAAGTCGAGAGCTGAGGGTGAGAGGTTTGAGGCCGTGATGGAGACGGAGAATCAGGAAGGGTGGCTTTAAGGACCTGCTGGAGAATCTCCTTTTGTTTGTCCGAGACAATTTTTGGCGCTGTTGTTGGCTGAGGTTGCTGGGAGGGAGCAGAAGATGATTGAGGCTTAGGAGTAGGGGGTGGTGCAAGGGCTGATGAGGAGGTCGAAAGAATCGCGAAGGCTGGAGTTTGTCGCGAACGGGCAGGCGGACGAGGAGAAGTGGGTTCAGAGTCTTGGGCACCACGGCCCCTTTTGCGGCCTGTCATTCTGTAAGGTATTGGGCTGGTGGCATGCAAAATGATGTTGGAGGTAAAGGAAGCATAAGAAATGAGGTGGAAAGTGTAGTCTTTGTTTCAAGGAAGAAGTTGGTGTAGCGAGGAAGGTCACAAAAAGTGGTTGGGGAGAAGCACAAGCACGGATGTGAGGTTGGCAAAGTGGCGGGAATTTGGGTTGATGGGGGGAGGCGAAAATGCACGTCGGGGGAAGGGGGTTCGCAAATCTGTTGTTCGTGTAGCAGGAGGTAGAAACTGATGACGGCACCGTGCTGTCCACTGCTGCTCAACACAAAGCTCAAGCCGCGCCGTTGCAAGGAAGATTCCACTCTGCGCCGTGCGCTAATTGCCTGCCAGATAAGCACTAGTTTCGTATCAACGTGCGCCAACACCGACACGGTAGATCCACGATTGTAGTTTCGATCGCCTCTCGCGTCAAGGGTGTCGCGGATTGCTAGCAAGTCGTGGCTCAAATGTACGAGTATAAGAGAAGATGCAAGGTTGCTGATTTCGCCCTTTAGCGGAGAGTAGTGAGCTTAGAAGCTTTACTTGAGCGAGCAGCTTAGCGAACTACTACGAGGAGCGTACTAGCGCTTTTTATAGGAGCTGCAGCGAGCTTGAGTGACAACGAAGCAAACTACTACGAGGAGCGTACTAGCGCTTTTTATAGGAGCTGCAGCGAGCTTGAGTGACAACGAAGCAAACTACTACGAGGAGCGTACTAGCGCTTTTTATAGGAGCTGCAGCGAGCTTGAGTGACAACGAAGCAAACTACTACGAGGAGCGTACTAGCGCTTTTTATAGGAGCTGCAGCGAGCTTGAGTGACAACGAAGCAAACTACTACGAGGAGCGTACTAGCGCTTTTTATAGGAGCTGCAGCGAGCTTGAGTGACAACGAAGCAAACTACTACGAGGAGCGTACTAGCGCTTTTTATAGGAGCTGCAGCGAGCTTGAGTGACAACGAAGCAAACTACTACGAGGAGCGTACTAGCGCTTTTTATAGGAGCTGCAGCGAGCTTGAGTGACAACGAAGCAAACTACTACGAGGAGCGTACTAGCGCTTTTTATAGGAGCTGCAGCGAGCTTGAGTGACAACGAAGCAAACTACTACGAGGAGCGTACTAGCGCTTTTTATAGGAGCTGCAGCGAGCTTGAGTGACAACGAAGCAAACTACTACGAGGAGCGTACTAGCGCTTTTTATAGGAGCTGCAGCGAGCTTGAGTGACAACGAAGCAAACTACTACGAGGAGCGTACTAGCGCTTTTTATAGGAGCTGCAGCGAGCTTGAGTGACAACGAAGCAAACTACTACGAGGAGCGTACTAGCGCTTTTTATAGGAGCTGCAGCGAGCTTGAGTGACAACGAAGCAAACTACTACGAGGAGCGTACTAGCGCTTTTTATAGGAGCTGCAGCGAGCTTGAGTGACAACGAAGCAAACTACTACGAGGAGCGTACTAGCGCTTTTTATAGGAGCTGCAGCGAGCTTGAGTGACAACGAAGCAAACTACTACGAGGAGCGTACTAGCGCTTTTTATAGGAGCTGCAGCGAGCTTGAGTGACAACGAAGCAAACTACTACGAGGAGCGTACTAGCGCTTTTTATAGGAGATGCAGCGAGCTTGAGTGACAACGAAGCAAACTACTACGAGGAGCGTACTAGCGCTTTTTATAGGAGCTGCAGCGAGCTTGAGTGACAACGAAGCAAACTACTACGAGGAGCGTACTAGCGCTTTTTATAAGAAGCAAAAAGAACGGGAGCTGGGGGAGGATTGCTGAAAGAAGGAACGGAAGGGGAAGTATAAGGGGCTGGGGGAAGGGGGGGAGGGGGGTTCGAGGAAGGAGGAGGGGGGTTCGAGGAAGGAGGAGGGGGGTTCGAGGAAGGAGGAGGGGGGTTCGAGGAAGGAGGAGGGGGGTTCGAGGAAGGAGGAGGGGGGTTCGAGGAAGGAGGAGGGGGGTTCGAGGAAGGAGGAGGGGGGTTCGAGGAAGGAGGAGGGGGGTTCGAGGAAGGAGGAGGGGGGTTCGAGGAAGGAGGAGGGGGGTTCGAGGAAGGAGGAGGGGGGTTCGAGGAAGGAGGAGGGGGGTTCGAGGAAGGAGGAGGGGGGTTCGAGGAAGGAGGAGGGGGGTTCGAGGAAGGAGGAGGGGGGTTCGAGGAAGGAGGAGGGGGGTTCGAGGAAGGAGGAGGGGGGTTCGAGGAAGGAGGAGGGGGGTTCGAGGAAGGAGGAGGGGGGTTCGAGGAAGGAGGAGGGGGGTTCGAGGAAGGAGGAGGGGGGTTCGAGGAAGGAGGAAGGAGTTGTGGGGGAGAGGGATGTGGCAAAACGAGGGAATGAAGGATGTGGGGGGTGCGAGGAATTAATGGTATCTGTGATGACGTTTTTGAGGACCTCTTATGTTTTCGAAAGACACGAGAAGGCCTCGCATGCGGCCGAATGCTGTGTTGAGGAGAGCCAGAAAGAGGGGACTGATGTTGGCTGGTGGTTGGAGGAAGGAAGTGTCGATGAGGATGGGGGAGAAGGGACGGGAACTGTAGCAAAAGTAGGGGATGTGCAGTGGACATGGACGGAGGTTTGGAGGCCGGATCCTCTTGCAGGAATGCGGAATTTCAACTTTTAGGTGACAACTTAGCATACGAAGGCACCGCAAAATAAATAATGCATAACTCAACGGGGGCGTTCCGAGAATCGAACTCGGGACCTCTCGCACCCGAAGCGAGAATCATACCTCTTTATTGACACTATAGTAAATGTACAATGGATACAAGGCAAATCCAGAGACGTAGTGTATGGAGAGACATGCAGGCTAATCCTATTGTGAGGCCTACAAATAGGCCTCTGTGATGTCTCAATGGTCCTCTCCCAAGTAGGCAAAGTCAGCTGCAGAAAGAGAAGTCACCTCGGGTGGTGCGTGGTTGACGCCCTCGGTAAAACGAATTTGTGCACGACGACAAACAGTGCGAGCCTGCTCACGTTGATGGACCAGAGAAATCCGTTTGTAGAAGTTGGTCTCAAACAGCTGGGGAAGAGAATCTGTGGCACCACTCAAGTCGCGGAGTTGTGACGCCCCTTTGCGGCTGCATTGGCGAAGGAAGTTGTTGAACGAAGAGCCGAAGCAACCAAAGGTTTCGATGACAAGGGGAAACAGTTTGATGTCTGGACGGTCACGAAGTGCTGCAGCATAGTGGGTGGTCTTCTCACTTTCACGAGTGGCTGCTGCTGAACCAATCACCGTAGCTGCGTTGGAGTGCGGAAACCCCTTTTGTGGATCAGCAACAGAAACATCCAAGGCCCAGGTGGTACCAGAGCTAATATCGCGGCAAGTGATGTCTGTGCGGCGGCCAGGCAGGAGATGCTGGTCTTCCATCTGCGCAGAGAACCCAAGCTCCAAGGCAATGCGATGAACTTCTCGTTTGATTGCGTCGTGCACCTTAGTAGGCTCGTTGTTGCTAGGGCAGCGAAGGACATGAGAATGGATGGAAGGATCGGTGAACGGGAAGTTGCAGGTGCAGGTGAGTGAAGATGAAAGGTGAGGAAGAGGAAGGCCTAAGCGGATAGCTGCTGCAATGCGCCATTCAGTCTCTGAAAGCTGCATGTGCGGGGAGGATGGAGCCACAGTGAGCCAGTCACCTGCATGCCGGCCCTGCAAAGAGGTTAGACGAGCAAGGCGAAGCGGGGACGTTACTGTGGCTCGAACCTTCTCCAGCAAATCGGCTTCGAGGTGTTGGGAGAGATGAGTAAAGAGTTTAGGAGGGTAGCCCGATTGAAGCACAAGCCATCATGGGAAGCGATCACGAATGTCTTGGGGAAGCATGGTCATGGTGGATGAGATTGAAGGGTCGAGGAGGTTAATGGAGTCCGTGGTGACGTAAGGGCGGAAAAGAGGAGCACCATCAGCGATGAAGTGGGTGGATAAGGTCGAAACTGTCTGCGCCCAGCTACAAAGGTAACTGAGGGGGGCGATGGATGCAGAGCTGCGAATGCCGAAGCCACCTAAGCGGATAGGGAGCGAGGCTTGGAGGCGGGCCGATGTGGACTGTTCAGAGGTGGGATTCCAGTACTCAGAGCCCAGGAGCTGAGAGAAGTGGCTGAAAATGGTGCAGTCCCATGAAGAAAGTAGCTCTTGGATTTCGGGAAAAGGTGCGACAGTTCGGAGGAGGAAAGAAGGTCGGGCAGTGATGCATAAGGAAAGGATCCGTGAGGCAATCTGTGGGTCCTGCAGTTGATGCAGTAAGGGGAGGGAGGAAGTGAAAGAATCGAGTTTGTCACGAACTGTAGAGATGATGTAACCGTCGGAGCCGGTAGGAACGCCAGCGACAGTGAGACCGTTTGCAGCGATGGAAATACCCGGGGGCGGAATGCAGTGTTCGGGCAGGTCCATAGGGGCCCATAGAGAGCACTTAGAGGGTTGGACTGTAAGGCCGAGAGAGAGAAGGCGGGAGGTAAGGTCAGTGTATGCGGCAAAGACGTCTGAGGGAGGGCCGACCAAGTAGGTATCGTCTGCGTATGAGGTAATGAAAATTGAGGGAGACTGCTGCTGGGTTGGTTGGATGGCTAGCTGCTGTGTTAGGGCATAAAGGAAAGGGCCACAAGGGTCGCCTTGACGAACACCAGAAGCTGATTGGAATGTGTGGAGAAGGGGGCCGCTGCGGTAGTGGAGAGGTGAAGGGGTGGAGTAGAATAGGCGGAAGAAGGGAATGAGACTGGAGAATGGGGAGCGCCTTAATGCCTCAAACATGGAAACCCGGTTGAACGAGTTGAACGCGTTTGCAACGTCCAGCTGAAGCACCACCCAGTCTGGATGAAGGGAGAAGGTGGAGCACACTGCGTGCGACATAATCTCGATCCCGGCCGGAACTGCTACGCCAAATTGAAGGTGAGGAAGGAATGTCTCTCGAATCTGCTGCTTAAAAAGGAGAGTGATGCAGCGTGAAAGGAGGCGTGGTAGCACTTCCCCAATGGCGATGGGACGTACACCACCATGCAGTTTCTGCAGGGCCACGAGGTTCGAAGCGGTGTAGAAAGGCCTGACTGCGGGCGGAAGGTCACCCTGCAGCCAGTTCTGGAATACGTGGAGGAGAGAAGGGAGATGCTGCTGGTGAGAAAGAAACGTGTCCCTGAGGTGCTCAATGAACCACCCAGAAGGTCCAGCAGCTGTGCCACGGGGGGCGGACTGTAGAGCGGCATGGAGAACAGGGACGGTAAGCTGTGGTGCGGCTGCAGGAGTGAAGGTGTGTACCCAGTCAGGAATCTCTGCTGCAGCAGGTGGGTGCTTGGAGCTGAGGGCAACAACTGTTTCTGATGATGGAGGAGCTAGCTCGCCAGCTTCCAGTGCTGCCAGTGACCGCGACCAATCCCCGCATTTTGCAAACCGCTTCGCACGGTTGAGACGAGCCTGCTGCGCTGTAGAACGTGCTGAAGCCATGTGCAGAGGTCTAGCGGCTGGAGTGGCTGCAGCTACGGCTTCGCTGAAAAGAGAGTGCCAGTCACCAGTGATGAAGCGGCGCGCTAAGGCAGCACATGAAGAGGTAAGGGGCTGTGTGGGAGCAGCGGCAGAAGGTAGGTGCAGTAGGAGACGCGGAAATGCCAAGAGAATGAGGTGTGCAGCGACGTCAGAAGGATGTTGTGCAAGGCGGCGCAGTGGAATGAGAAGTGCATCGAGAATGAGTAGTCGGATGCGGGAGGGGATTCGGCGGAGAATAGGGCCAGGTGAGACTGCCGGGCTGAAGAAGGAAGGCCAATCCCAGGAAGGAACGGCCTCCCAAGTGGCTTGAGGAATTGCAGGTCGATCTGCGGCTGCAGGCGCCGAGGTTGGGGCTGATGAGCGGGGAGGAGGAGGGCGAGCAGCTTGCTGACGTGTGGCGGTGTTGCGAGAGCAGGCTGGAAGGTGACGGGCCAACGAACCTGAGTTGGCAAAGGTGCGTCGACATGTGGGGCAAGAATTAGGAGGTAGTGGGTTATCGGAGGTTGATGAGGGCGGGCAGGGTTGCGGGCATGGCTGCGTAGAGTGAGGGGTAGGGGAAGGAGGAGGGGGATCTCGAGAAGGTGAAGCAACAGTTTCATAGTGTGATAGTGGGTGCGTGTTGTCGGCAGGGGCTGTGGGATTAGGAGCATCTGCTGTAGTCGTCGGTGGAGGTGTTGAGGTAGATGAAGGATGGGCACGGGAAGTCGAGAGCTGAGGGTGAGAGGTTTGAGGCCGTGATGGAGACGGAGAATCAGGAAGGGTGGCTTTAAGGACCTGCTGGAGAATCTCCTTTTGTTTGTCCGAGACAATTTTTGGCGCTGTTGTTGGCTGAGGTTGCTGGGAGGGAGCAGAAGATGATTGAGGCTTAGGAGTAGGGGGTGGTGCAAGGGCTGATGAGGAGGTCGAAAGAATCGCGAAGGCTGGAGTTTGTCGCGAACGGGCAGGCGGACGAGGAGAAGTGGGTTCAGAGTCTTGGGCACCACGGCCCCTTTTGCGGCCTGTCATTCTGTAAGGTATTGGGCTGGTGGCATGCAAAATGATGTTGGAGGTAAAGGAAGCATAAGAAATGAGGTGGAAAGTGTAGTCTTTGTTTCAAGGAAGAAGTTGGTGTAGCGAGGAAGGTCACAAAAAGTGGTTGGGGAGAAGCACAAGCACGGATGTGAGGTTGGCAAAGTGGCGGGAATTTGGGTTGATGGGGGGAGGCGAAAATGCACGTCGGGGGAAGGGGGTTCGCAAATCTGTTGTTCGTGTAGCAGGAGGTAGAAACTGATGACGGCACCGTGCTGTCCACTGCTGCTCAACACAAAGCTCAAGCCGCGCCGTTGCAAGGAAGATTCCACTCTGCGCCGTGCGCTAATTGCCTGCCAGATAAGCACTAGTTTCGTATCAACGTGCGCCAACACCGACACGGTAGATCCACGATTGTAGTTTCGATCGCCTCTCGCGTCAAGGGTGTCGCGGATTGCTAGCAAGTCGTGGCTCAAATGTACGAGTATAAGAGAAGATGCAAGGTTGCTGATTTCGCCCTTTAGCGGAGAGTAGTGAGCTTAGAAGCTTTACTTGAGCGAGCAGCTTAGCGAACTACTACGAGGAGCGTACTAGCGCTTTTTATAGGAGCTGCAGCGAGCTTGAGTGACAACGAAGCAAACTACTACGAGGAGCGTACTAGCGCTTTTTATAGGAGCTGCAGCGAGCTTGAGTGACAACGAAGCAAACTACTACGAGGAGCGTACTAGCGCTTTTTATAGGAGCTGCAGCGAGCTTGAGTGACAACGAAGCAAACTACTACGAGGAGCGTACTAGCGCTTTTTATAGGAGCTGCAGCGAGCTTGAGTGACAACGAAGCAAACTACTACGAGGAGCGTACTAGCGCTTTTTATAGGAGCTGCAGCGAGCTTGAGTGACAACGAAGCAAACTACTACGAGGAGCGTACTAGCGCTTTTTATAGGAGCTGCAGCGAGCTTGAGTGACAACGAAGCAAACTACTACGAGGAGCGTACTAGCGCTTTTTATAGGAGCTGCAGCGAGCTTGAGTGACAACGAAGCAAACTACTACGAGGAGCGTACTAGCGCTTTTTATAGGAGCTGCAGCGAGCTTGAGTGACAACGAAGCAAACTACTACGAGGAGCGTACTAGCGCTTTTTATAGGAGCTGCAGCGAGCTTGAGTGACAACGAAGCAAACTACTACGAGGAGCGTACTAGCGCTTTTTATAGGAGCTGCAGCGAGCTTGAGTGACAACGAAGCAAACTACTACGAGGAGCGTACTAGCGCTTTTTATAGGAGCTGCAGCGAGCTTGAGTGACAACGAAGCAAACTACTACGAGGAGCGTACTAGCGCTTTTTATAGGAGATGCAGCGAGCTTGAGTGACAACGAAGCAAACTACTACGAGGAGCGTACTAGCGCTTTTTATAGGAGCTGCAGCGAGCTTGAGTGACAACGAAGCAAACTACTACGAGGAGCGTACTAGCGCTTTTTATAAGAAGCAAAAAGAACGGGAGCTGGGGGAGGATTGCTGAAAGAAGGAACGGAAGGGGAAGTATAAGGGGCTGGGGGAAGGGGGGGAGGGGGGTTCGAGGAAGGAGGAGGGGGGTTCGAGGAAGGAGGAGGGGGGTTCGAGGAAGGAGGAGGGGGGTTCGAGGAAGGAGGAGGGGGGTTCGAGGAAGGAGGAGGGGGGTTCGAGGAAGGAGGAGGGGGGTTCGAGGAAGGAGGAGGGGGGTTCGAGGAAGGAGGAGGGGGGTTCGAGGAAGGAGGAGGGGGGTTCGAGGAAGGAGGAGGGGGGTTCGAGGAAGGAGGAGGGGGGTTCGAGGAAGGAGGAGGGGGGTTCGAGGAAGGAGGAGGGGGGTTCGAGGAAGGAGGAGGGGGGTTCGAGGAAGGAGGAGGGGGGTTCGAGGAAGGAGGAGGGGGGTTCGAGGAAGGAGGAGGGGGGTTCGAGGAAGGAGGAGGGGGGTTCGAGGAAGGAGGAGGGGGGTTCGAGGAAGGAGGAGGGGGGTTCGAGGAAGGAGGAGGGGGGTTCGAGGAAGGAGGAGGGGGGTTCGAGGAAGGAGGAGGGGGGTTCGAGGAAGGAGGAGGGGGGTTCGAGGAAGGAGGAGGGGGGTTCGAGGAAGGAGGAGGGGGGTTCGAGGAAGGAGGAGGGGGGTTCGAGGAAGGAGGAGGGGGGTTCGAGGAAGGAGGAGGGGGGTTCGAGGAAGGAGGAGGGGGGTTCGAGGAAGGAGGAGGGGGGTTCGAGGAAGGAGGAGGGGGGTTCGAGGAAGGAGGAGGGGGGTTCGAGGAAGGAGGAGGGGGGTTCGAGGAAGGAGGAAGGAGTTGTGGGGGAGAGGGATGTGGCAAAACGAGGGAATGAAGGATGTGGGGGGTGCGAGGAATTAATGGTATCTGTGATGACGTTTTTGAGGACCTCTTATGTTTTCGAAAGACACGAGAAGGCCTCGCATGCGGCCGAATGCTGTGTTGAGGAGAGCCAGAAAGAGGGGACTGATGTTGGCTGGTGGTTGGAGGAAGGAAGTGTCGATGAGGATGGGGGAGAAGGGACGGGAACTGTAGCAAAAGTAGGGGATGTGCAGTGGACATGGACGGAGGTTTGGAGGCCGGATCCTCTTGCAGGAATGCGGAATTTCAACTTTTAGGTGACAACTTAGCATACGAAGGCACCGCAAAATAAATAATGCATAACTCAACGGGGGCGTTCCGAGAATCGAGCTCGGGACCTCTCGCACCCGAAGCAGGAATCATACCACTACACCAAACGCCCACGTTAATTGTACATATGTGTTAATATAGGTCGTGTGTTTTTGTACATACTCATTTCAGAGTGCGTCAGATCCGTTGTCGGAAAAATCCGGCCGGCCGGAATTAACGAAGGTAACACATTTGCGACATTCGCGCAATATTTCGTAATGCTCGTCAAATCCGGCCATTTGTAAAAGATTTGATGGCCGGTTCAGCATTCGACAAAGTTCCGACGTGCAGTCGACTAGAAAGTCTTCCAATTTGTCGACCTGAGATCGCTACAGTCTCTACGCGACGTCGCCAGCTCGTGCGACGCAACGTGTCACTCAAGTACTGCCTCTGCGACTCCGTCGTACAACTCGGCGACCCTGGCGAACTGCAAATCTGACACATTTGCAAAGCGGCCTGCAAATCGGCCACCAAATGTCAGATTTTTCGGCCCTGTAAATCGGGCCGGATTTGGTCACTTTCACTTATGAAGTCGACCATGGTGTCGCCGTTGGCGAAAGATAGTCGACCAAAATGGTCGACCAAATTCCAGCCAAATCACATTGTAAAGTATCTGACGCACCCTAACTCACCCATTCCGCTAATCCTTTCCACAGAATTTTCTGAGTTTCAGATATCAGCATTTTTTTTTGTGGAATTAGGAGAAAGAGCCTAACCCCCCCTGCGTGTGGCATGAAGATCAGAACAAGAAGCTGAGTATGGAACTCTCCAGAAACCATCGCGTCGTGAAAGGTCATGTTTGTTTCACAGTGAATAGAACAGGAGCCATGAACTTAGTAGGCTTGCGGCGATGCGGGTGAATCTGCCGCGAACGAATATTTGGCCCACCGCTTGACGAAGAAACCAAATGTTCGAAAATACTCTCTGAAAATCTATTCCTCTGGAGCCTCTTACGGCACTCCCGCGGATTCGGCTTGGATGCTTGCTTTCTCCTTCGCTGCCGTTCCGTCCATCGCAGGGACTGATGCTGCTGCTGCTGCCGCGGCTGCGGATTCAGCGCGTATTCTCCTCGATCGTACAGTGTTGACGAAACATCCGATGACGAAAACAGCGATCACTGCGACGACCGCGGCGACGCTGACGATGATTGCGGACTTCACCGTGGGCGACACGCCCCACCCCGTAACTCCGGCTTCGCTCGTCGCCGTCATGTTCCGACGAGTGAGCTGGAAAAGCCGCGTTCACCCGGATGCGACGAATTTTGAGGCTCGTCCAAGATCTGAGATGCAAAAATGGGGGCAGCTTCTGGGAGACTAGCTAAGATCTGCTAACAATAATCCAGGATTACTTGTCGTGCCGACGCACAGAAGGAGATTAGGAGGAAAGTCCACGTCGTGATGATGCGAGCCAAATTAATTTTGAGTTTCACGAGTCAAGTTATCATCTTCCCTTTCTACCAGACTCGTTAGCCGTTCGAGCCATTACTGCTGAAAACTGACCACTGCGAAACTCGACTGAAGGAGTAAAGATAGACGACTCGCAGCTCCAAACGAAGTAACAATAAGCTTTGCACTTGAGGTATACCGAAGAACGGGATGAGCGCATGGCGGCGGGTATCATGGTTCTAGGCGTGCGTGAGCGCAATTTCCGGCGCTACGGCTGTGAGTAGTGTCCAAGTAAGCTGAAGGGAGCACGGAAGGGTCATGCGGGGACCACGAAGCTCACGATTATTGCTGCGGAAATGACTCGTTTGCGAGCAGCCGACGTCCCAAAATTTCTGAGCAGCTAGAGGAAGGTACATGTGATTCGATTAAATACATATTTCATAATGTTCAGGATTTGGTGAAAGGTTATCCTCTGCAACAAGCTTTTAAAATGCAATGGTGTGCCAAACACGGAAAAAACATGATTTTTTTACAAGTGATCAATAAATGCACTGAAAAATCACCAGATACAAAACAAAACGTAAGTAGAAAAAGTGTGCTTTGTTACCTACTCACAAAACAAGAGCAAAAATTTTAGCTATTCAGAGGTGACACCATTCCCATCCACCGCACCTCCCTCCACCCCCTGGCCCCCCTTCCGCCGTCTCCTCTGCCTTTTTTTTGGCCCTGCTCCATCCGCCCCTTGTATCTTCCCTTCACTACCTGCCCCCCCTGCTGGGCGGGCCTTCTTCTTGCACGACAGGGGGTTGGGTCCCTGTGGCGTGGAAGGGTTTGGTATAGAAAAGGCATATTTGAGTCAACTAGAAAATCGCCGTGTCTCTTCCCTTCACTTCCCACCCCCCCTGCTGGGCGGGCCTCCTTCTTGCATGATAGCGGGTTGGGTCCCTGTGGCGTGGAAGGGTTTGGGTTTCAACATGTGTGTTTTGAGGCGTTTCATAACAGATGCACATGGTGAGATGAGATGCGGGAGTGCCGGCAGAGTGAGAGTGAAGGGACAGTGAGAGTGAAGGAACACACTTACTGTCACTCTCACACTCTCACCGTCACTCTCGCACTCCCACTGTCACTCTCCCACCCTCACCTTAACTCGTTTACGCTTGAACTTGGCTCTGTCCTTCACATACCCCAGCTGCTTCCACTCTTGTCTCTCCTCCGAATCGCACCCATACCCATCTCCATACTCATTCGCACCCACACCCTCACCTTCACTCGCTTCCGTTTAAACTTGGCTCTGTCCTTCACATACCCCAGCCGCTTCCACTCCGGTTTCCTCTCCTCTCCCTCCTCCTCCGAATCATACCCATACCCAAACGCATCTGCATTCACATTCACCCCTCCCGCCCCCCCGCCCCCCTCCTCCGCCCCTGCACCATCTGCCCCACCACTCCCTTCTCTCTCACTCCCAGCAACACCCTCCCCCTCGCCTCCTCCCTCTCCTCCTGTCGCTGCTTCTCTCTCACTCCCAGCAACACCGCCTTGCTGCCTCGCCAACCCCCTATCCACCACAGTAGGTACAAGTCCCTTCTGTGTCTCCTCGATTCTTTTCTTTCGCTTGGCTGCCCGCGCCAGCAGCAGCTGCTGCTGCTCGTGTTCGGGCAGGCCGAGCCGGGCAGATTCGGATTTCTTGGAGAGCGAGAGGTCGAGAGGGGAGGGCGGTTCCAGAGAGATTGACGTCCCACTGGCTGAGATGATTGGCACTGCTGAAACCTGGGGGTGGGGAGGGAAGCAAGGGGGGGAAACTGAGCTGCTACACACGGAAACATGTGCGGCTTTATCCAACAAGGAGAGGTCGAGAGGGGAGGGCGGTTCCAGAGAGATTGATGTTCCATCGGCTGAGATGATTGGCACTGCTGGCACCTGGGGGGTTGGGGGGGAAGGGAAGGAAAGGAGTGAGGGAAAGAGAGCTTGTTACACATGAGAAAGCATCTGTGGACTATAGGGAAAGAGAGAGGTCCAGAGGGGAGGGTGGCTCGGGCGTGCAGGCACCTTGAGGGTTATGGTGGTTGGGTGGTGAGGTGGGTGGGAGGAGTGGAGATGGGCGCAAGATCAGCTGAAGCATAACCATTCAACTTTTGAAACGTCCCAAGTGATGTGGGTGGGTGGAGTGAATTTGTTTTTAGAAGTCTCACAAGTGATGTGGGTGGGTGGAGTGAAGATGGGCGAAAGATCAGCTGGAGCATAAACACTCGATTGAATCAAATCAAACACCATTGTACCAACACCACAAGCTTGAAAAGAGGAGCTTGAACGACCAAAAGTGGCAAAGGCAAAACCAGCCTCTGTCCTCATGGCAGGATACTGGACCTGAAACGAACCTTCTTGAGAAGCTTCTTGAATTCAATGTCCTGTGAGGCAACAAAGAAATGCTGGTGGTTACCAGCCGCCACGAGGTGCTGTATGCACTCTGATGCCGTTACTGCCTCGTCTCCTTCGTGTGAGCACCTGGTTGGGTAAGGGAGAATGGCAGGGGAAGAGGAGTGAGTGGAAAGATGTGCTGCTGGTTACCACCTGACCTGATACCACCTGTCACGAGGTGCTGTATGCACTCTGATGCCGTCGCTGCCTTGTCGCCCTCATGCATGCACCTGAGGGGGGAGAGAGGGGGCGACGGAGGGATGAATGAGGGGGAGAATGGCTATTGAATGCTGGTTACCACCACCTGACCTGTTACCACCTGCCACGAGGTGCTGGATGCACTCTGATGCATACTGTTACTTGTTAGGCAGAATGGCAGGGGAAGAGGAGCGAAAGGGAGTATTTTTTGTTATGTGGTTAACTCATAACTGTTAACTAGATGCTGGCCACTGATTGGTTTGCGTCATGAGTGCTGTGCATGTGATTTCATTGGTGAGAATGGCAGGGGAATGAAAGATGAGAGGTAAGGGCGTGGAACATCCTTTTGATCAAGGCACTGGTCGTCCCAATGTGACGAAGGCTGAAAGGTGCACGCACGTTCCACAGCTTTTGTACTTCGGTCGCCCCACACGTACGGATACGAAAAAAATGGTGACGTAAGCAGAAACATGCGACGTGCAACCAAGTGCTGTCATGGGTGAAATACTTACGTGCAACCAAGTGCTGTCATGGGTGAAATACTTACGTGCAACCAAGTGCTGTCATGGGTGAAATACTTACGTGCAACCAAGTGCTGCCATGGGTGAAATACTTACGTGCAACCAAGTGCTGTCATGGGTGAAATACTTATGTGCAACCAAGTGCTGTCATGGGTGAAATACTTACGTGCAACCAAGTGCTGTCATGGGTGAAATACACGCTCCCGATTTGCTGCGAATCAAATGACGAAATCAATTATCTTCGTGCATCGTCGCGAATCCTTGCTGCTGGTCGATCAAGATCCCTTCCTATATCTCCAAAGTGATTCTGATTTGCAATGTGTGGTTTTGTGTATCATCTCACGAAAACCGCTGCAAACAAGTGGCGAAGCCAAATGTTCGACCAAACAAGTGACCAAACGCTTGCTCATAAGGATGTTCCACGCTCTAAGTGCTGCTGCTGGTTACCATCTGAACTGTTACCACCTGCCAGCAGATGCAGGATGCACTCAGATGTGGTTTCTGATTGATTGGCTTCACGGATGCCACGTGGCAGTAACCAGTGGTACTAACCAGGCACCCATGCCACGTGTCAGTACCAGGCATCCATGCCACATGTCAGCACCCAGGCATCCACGCCACGTGGCATACCTGGCGACCTCCAGCTGGCGGGCAGCAAAGCGCGTGTCCTTGAAAGCATCCCCCAGGCGCTGCAGCTCCGCCAGAATGCACCTGCGGGGGAAAAGGGGGAGGGGGGGGGGGGGGGGGGGGGGGGAAGGGGCGAGGGGCGGGGAAATGAAAGGGGGGGCAGGCGGAACATCTTGTCATGGAGAGGAGAGAAGGACTTGATGCCGCGCCGCCCCCCAGGTGACTTTTGAGTCGACTCAAAAGTTACGGGGCCAGCGGCAAGTCATTCCATGAAGAGAGAGAGAGAGAGAGAGAGAGAGAGAGAGAGAGAGGAGACCTTGAAGGCGCCCTCCAGGCGCTGCAGCTCCGCCAGAATGCACCTGCCAGGGGGGGAGGAGGAGGAATTCAAAGGGATCGAGGGCAGTGAGGGAGGGGGAGAGATGAGGTAAGGGGGGGAGGGGAGGGGATTCGAAGGGACATGATACGAGTGACTTTTTGAGACGACTCAAAAAGTCACTCATATCTCGAGGGGCGAGGTGGAAGAGAGGGAGAGGGAGAGAGAGAGAGAGAGAGAGAGAGAGAGAGAGAGAGAGAGAGAGAGAGAGAGAGAGAGAGAGAGAGAGAGAGAGAGAGAGACGAGGCGTGGGGGTGGGCGGGGGAGAGAAGGCGAAAGACGGAGGGTTGGAGCTTGGGTATCGGGGTTCGGGGTTTGGGGTTGAGGGTTTGGGGCTTGAATCCTCTCTTCCGGTGTCGGGGGTTTAAAGGGGGTTGCGAGGGGTTGAAAGGGGTACCGCAATAGCCTGAGAGGGGTCTTGCAAGGGTTCAAGGGTCGGCGAATCACGATGGGTGGGAGGTTTGAAAGGCCTCGGGGAAGCGGACAGCGATACGAACAGTGTGACGTGGAACCGTATGATCTGGACACACACCCTGTGACGTGGAAACATATGATGGCGCGCAGCTTAATACCGGCCGTGAGAGGTTGATGCGGTGCGACCCACGCGTGTCGTGGACACGCACCGTGTGATGTAGACACGTGTCGGAAAGCCGAGCAGCTTGGGAAGTGACGTGGCGAGTGGCGAGAGGCGGAGGCGCGTGACGTGGTGCAGAAACGTGCCGTCGCAGACCGCCTTGAACGGCTCGCGGAAGCCGCAGGACGTGCGGTAGAAGCGCACATGGCGCCGCACCTCCCGCTGCCGCTTCACCCTCATCTCTGCCCGTCTACGACGCTGATCTCCAGATGCGTCGTCAGGTGAACCGCCGTGTAAATCGTCAGGTGGATTGTCAGGTGGATTGTCAGGTGGATCGTCCCCGCCAGAACAAGGTGGCGCGAACGGTCACCTCTAATCTGCTCGCATTCAAAGCTCTATCCGATGGCCTCGACACGCCTGCTTTTGTCGCAACGACTTTGGTGCTAGTTCTTTTTCTGTTGGTGTTTGTGTGGAACAGCCGCGTACTCGTTACAAAGGCTGCACCGCAGTACATGTCCAGTAAGCAATTCAATCTGGTACCCGTCATTGTGAGCTTACAAAGAGAGCAAGTACAGATAGACGCAGTGGCTACAATTGAGCAAATTTTCACCTAAAATTTTGAACCACATTTCCAACAGTAGGGCATCGAACGTTACTTCATTGTTACTTCTTTATTTTGAACTCTTATCACAACGTTGTTTTCCCATTATCACTTGATAAGAATGAAATCAAGCTGTGATTCACTTGGTTTGGATCATCCCACATCATCCAATACGTGAGCTGCACAGCAGACACACACAGTGGCAACCGGCACAAACAAAGGCAGGCAAAAGGTCAGGCGAAAATCAGCATGTCAGGCCAGACGAGAGATGACTCTCAGAAGAGGAAGCCACGGAGCACGGATGGGTGCAACAGCCAGGGAGACGGTGACGAAGAGGGGCAGTGTGTGCGTGGAAAGGGAGGGGTGCTGCACGGCACGCACGGACATCGGAAAGAGCAGTATGCATGGCGTGGTATGGTATGGGCACCTCAGGAAGACGAGCATGTTCAATAGCGTCGTCGAACGAGTAGTGGTGGTGCGTGCACATCAGAAAGACGAGTGTGAGCAGCTCAGGAGGAGCAGCTCAGGAGGAGCAGCTCAGGAGGAGCAGCTCAGGAGGAGCAGCTCAGGAGGAGCAGCTCAGGAGGAGCAGGTCAGGAGGAGCAGCTCAGGAGGAGCAGCTCAGGAGGAGCAGCTCAGGAGGAGCAGCTCAGGAGGAGCAGGTCAGGAGGAGCAGCTCAGGAGGAGCAGCTCAGGAGGAGCAGCTCAGGAGGAGCAGCTCAGGAGGAGCAGCTCAGGAGGAGCAGCTCAGGAGGAGCAGGTCAGGAGGAGCAGGTCAGGAGGAGCAGGTCAGGAGGAGCAGGTCAGGAGGAGCAGCTCAGGAGGAGCAGCTCAGGAGGAGCAGCTCAGGAGGAGCAGCTCAGGAGGAGCAGCTCAGGAGGAGCAGCTCAGGAGGAGCAGCTCAGGAGGAGCAGCTCAGGAGGAGCAGCTCAGGAGGAGCAGCTCAGGAGGAGCAGGTCAGGAGGAGCAGCTCAGGAGGAGCAGCTCAGGAGGAGCAGCTCAGGAGGAGCAGCTCAGGAGGAGCAGCTCAGGAGGAGCAGCTCAGGAGGAGCAGCTCAGGAGGAGCAGGTCAGGAGGAGCAGGTCAGGAGGAGCAGGTCAGGAGGAGCAGCTCAGGAGGAGCAGCTCAGGAGGAGCAGCTCAGGAGGAGCAGCTCAGGAGGAGCAGGTCAGGAGGAGCAGGTCAGGAGGAGCAGGTCAGGAGGAGCAGCTCAGGAGGAGCAGCTCAGGAGGAGCAGCTCAGGAGGAGCAGCTCAGGAGGAGCAGCTCAGGAGGAGCAGGTCAGGAGGAGCAGCTCAGGAGGAGCAGCTCAGGAGGAGCAGGTCAGGAGGAGCAGCTCAGGAGGAGCAGCTCAGGAGGAGCAGCTCAGGAGGAGCAGCTCAGGAGGAGCAGGTCAGGAGGAGCAGCTCAGGAGGAGCAGCTCAGGAGGAGCAGCTCAGGAGGAGCAGGTCAGGAGGAGCAGGTCAGGAGGAGCAGCTCAGGAGGAGCAGCTCAGGAGGAGCAGCTCAGGAGGAGCAGCTCAGGAGGAGCAGCTCAGGAGGAGCAGCTCAGGAGGAGCAGCTCAGGAGGAGCAGCTCAGGAGGAGCAGCTCAGGAGGAGCAGCTCAGGAGGAGCAGCTCAGGAGGAGCAGCTCAGGAGGAGCAGCTCAGGAGGAGCAGCTCAGGAGGAGCAGCTCAGGAGGAGCAGCTCAGGAGGAGCAGCTCAGGAGGAGCAGCTCAGGAGGAGCAGCTCAGGAGGAGCAGCTCAGGAGGAGCAGGTCAGGAGGAGCAGGTCAGGAGGAGCAGCTCAGGAGGAGCAGCTCAGGAGGAGCAGCTCAGGAGGAGCAGCTCAGGAGGAGCAGCTCAGGAGGAGCAGCTCAGGAGGAGCAGCTCAGGAGGAGCAGCTCAGGAGGAGCAGCTCAGGAGGAGCAGCTCAGGAGGAGCAGCTCAGGAGGAGCAGCTCAGGAGGAGCAGCTCAGGAGGAGCAGGTCAGGAGGAGCAGGTCAGGAGGAGCAGCTCAGGAGGAGCAGCTCAGGAGGAGCAGCTCAGGAGGAGCAGCTCAGGAGGAGCAGCTCAGGAGGAGCAGCTCAGGAGGAGCAGCTCAGGAGGAGCAGCTCAGGAGGAGCAGCTCAGGAGGAGCAGCTCAGGAGGAGCAGCTCAGGAGGAGCAGCTCAGGAGGAGCAGCTCAGGAGGAGCAGCTCAGGAGGAGCAGCTCAGGAGGAGCAGCTCAGGAGGAGCAGCTCAGGAGGAGCAGCTCAGGAGGAGCAGCTCAGGAGGAGCAGCTCAGGAGGAGCAGCTCAGGAGGAGCAGCTCAGGAGGAGCAGCTCAGGAGGAGCAGCTCAGGAGGAGCAGGTCAGGAGGAGCAGGTCAGGAGGAGCAGCTCAGGAGGAGCAGCTCAGGAGGAGCAGCTCAGGAGGAGCAGGTCAGGAGGAGCAGCTCAGGAGGAGCAGCTCAGGAGGAGCAGCTCAGGAGGAGCAGGTCAGGAGGAGCAGGCTCAGGAGGAGCAGCTCAGGAGGAGCAGCTCAGGAGGAGCAGCTCAGGAGGAGCAGCTCAGGAGGAGCAGCTCAGGAGGAGCAGCTCAGGAGGAGCAGCTCAGGAGGAGCAGCTCAGGAGGAGCAGGTCAGGAGGAGCAGCTCAGGAGGAGCAGCTCAGGAGGAGCAGCTCAGGAGGAGCAGCTCAGGAGGAGCAGCTCAGGAGGAGCAGCTCAGGAGGAGCAGCTCAGGAGGAGCAGCTCAGGAGGAGCAGCTCAGGAGGAGCAGCTCAGGAGGAGCAGGTCAGGAGGAGCAGCTCAGGAGGAGCAGCTCAGGAGGAGCAGGTCAGGAGGAGCAGGTCAGGAGGAGCAGCTCAGGAGGAGCAGCTCAGGAGGAGCAGCTCAGGAGGAGCAGGTCAGGAGGAGCAGCTCAGGAGGAGCAGCTCAGGAGGAGCAGCTCAGGAGGAGCAGGTCAGGAGGAGCAGGTCAGGAGGAGCAGCTCAGGAGGAGCAGCTCAGGAGGAGCAGCTCAGGAGGAGCAGCTCAGGAGGAGCAGCTCAGGAGGAGCAGCTCAGGAGGAGCAGCTCAGGAGGAGCAGGTCAGGAGGAGCAGCTCAGGAGGAGCAGCTCAGGAGGAGCAGCTCAGGAGGAGCAGCTCAGGAGGAGCAGGTCAGGAGGAGCAGCTCAGGAGGAGCAGCTCAGGAGGAGCAGCTCAGGAGGAGCAGCTCAGGAGGAGCAGCTCAGGAGGAGCAGCTCAGGAGGAGCAGGTCAGGAGGAGCAGGTCAGGAGGAGCAGGTCAGGAGGAGCAGGTCAGGAGGAGCAGCTCAGGAGGAGCAGCTCAGGAGGAGCAGCTCAGGAGGAGCAGCTCAGGAGGAGCAGCTCAGGAGGAGCAGCTCAGGAGGAGCAGCTCAGGAGGAGCAGCTCAGGAGGAGCAGCTCAGGAGGAGCAGCTCAGGAGGAGCAGGTCAGGAGGAGCAGCTCAGGAGGAGCAGCTCAGGAGGAGCAGCTCAGGAGGAGCAGCTCAGGAGGAGCAGCTCAGGAGGAGCAGCTCAGGAGGAGCAGCTCAGGAGGAGCAGGTCAGGAGGAGCAGGTCAGGAGGAGCAGGTCAGGAGGAGCAGCTCAGGAGGAGCAGCTCAGGAGGAGCAGCTCAGGAGGAGCAGCTCAGGAGGAGCAGGTCAGGAGGAGCAGGTCAGGAGGAGCAGGTCAGGAGGAGCAGCTCAGGAGGAGCAGCTCAGGAGGAGCAGCTCAGGAGGAGCAGCTCAGGAGGAGCAGCTCAGGAGGAGCAGGTCAGGAGGAGCAGCTCAGGAGGAGCAGCTCAGGAGGAGCAGCTCAGGAGGAGCAGGTCAGGAGGAGCAGCTCAGGAGGAGCAGCTCAGGAGGAGCAGCTCAGGAGGAGCAGCTCAGGAGGAGCAGGTCAGGAGGAGCAGCTCAGGAGGAGCAGCTCAGGAGGAGCAGCTCAGGAGGAGCAGGTCAGGAGGAGCAGGTCAGGAGGAGCAGCTCAGGAGGAGCAGCTCAGGAGGAGCAGCTCAGGAGGAGCAGCTCAGGAGGAGCAGCTCAGGAGGAGCAGCTCAGGAGGAGCAGCTCAGGAGGAGCAGGTCAGGAGGAGCAGCTCAGGAGGAGCAGCTCAGGAGGAGCAGCTCAGGAGGAGCAGCTCAGGAGGAGCAGGTCAGGAGGAGCAGCTCAGGAGGAGCAGGTCAGGAGGAGCAGCTCAGGAGGAGCAGCTCAGGAGGAGCAGCTCAGGAGGAGCAGCTCAGGAGGAGCAGGTCAGGAGGAGCAGGTCAGGAGGAGCAGCTCAGGAGGAGCAGCTCAGGAGGAGCAGCTCAGGAGGAGCAGCTCAGGAGGAGCAGCTCAGGAGGAGCAGCTCAGGAGGAGCAGCTCAGGAGGAGCAGCTCAGGAGGAGCAGCTCAGGAGGAGCAGCTCAGGAGGAGCAGCTCAGGAGGAGCAGCTCAGGAGGAGCAGCTCAGGAGGAGCAGCTCAGGAGGAGCAGCTCAGGAGGAGCAGCTCAGGAGGAGCAGCTCAGGAGGAGCAGCTCAGGAGGAGCAGCTCAGGAGGAGCAGCTCAGGAGGAGCAGCTCAGGAGGAGCAGCTCAGGAGGAGCAGCTCAGGAGGAGCAGCTCAGGAGGAGCAGCTCAGGAGGAGCAGCTCAGGAGGAGCAGCTCAGGAGGAGCAGCTCAGGAGGAGCAGCTCAGGAGGAGCAGCTCAGGAGGAGCAGCTCAGGAGGAGCAGCTCAGGAGGAGCAGCTCAGGAGGAGCAGCTCAGGAGGAGCAGCTCAGGAGGAGCAGCTCAGGAGGAGCAGCTCAGGAGGAGCAGCTCAGGAGGAGCAGCTCAGGAGGAGCAGCTCAGGAGGAGCAGCTCAGGAGGAGCAGCTCAGGAGGAGCAGCTCAGGAGGAGCAGGTCAGGAGGAGCAGCTCAGGAGGAGCAGCTCAGGAGGAGCAGCTCAGGAGGAGCAGCTCAGGAGGAGCAGCTCAGGAGGAGCAGCTCAGGAGGAGCAGCTCAGGAGGAGCAGGTCAGGAGGAGCAGGTCAGGAGGAGCAGCTCAGGAGGAGCAGGTCAGGAGGAGCAGCTCAGGAGGAGCAGCTCAGGAGGAGCAGGTCAGGAGGAGCAGCTCAGGAGGAGCAGCTCAGGAGGAGCAGGTCAGGAGGAGCAGGTCAGGAGGAGCAGCTCAGGAGGAGCAGCTCAGGAGGAGCAGGTCAGGAGGAGCAGGTCAGGAGGAGCAGGTCAGGAGGAGCAGGTCAGGAGGAGCAGCTCAGGAGGAGCAGCTCAGGAGGAGCAGCTCAGGAGGAGCAGCTCAGGAGGAGCAGCTCAGGAGGAGCAGCTCAGGAGGAGCAGCTCAGGAGGAGCAGCTCAGGAGGAGCAGGTCAGGAGGAGCAGGTCAGGAGGAGCAGGTCAGGAGGAGCAGCTCAGGAGGAGCAGCTCAGGAGGAGCAGCTCAGGAGGAGCAGCTCAGGAGGAGCAGCTCAGGAGGAGCAGCTCAGGAGGAGCAGCTCAGGAGGAGCAGGTCAGGAGGAGCAGGTCAGGAGGAGCAGGTCAGGAGGAGCAGCTCAGGAGGAGCAGCTCAGGAGGAGCAGCTCAGGAGGAGCAGCTCAGGAGGAGCAGGTCAGGAGGAGCAGCTCAGGAGGAGCAGGTCAGGAGGAGCAGGTCAGGAGGAGCAGGTCAGGAGGAGCAGCTCAGGAGGAGCAGCTCAGGAGGAGCAGCTCAGGAGGAGCAGCTCAGGAGGAGCAGCTCAGGAGGAGCAGCTCAGGAGGAGCAGCTCAGGAGGAGCAGCTCAGGAGGAGCAGCTCAGGAGGAGCAGCTCAGGAGGAGCAGCTCAGGAGGAGCAGCTCAGGAGGAGCAGCTCAGGAGGAGCAGCTCAGGAGGAGCAGCTCAGGAGGAGCAGCTCAGGAGGAGCAGCTCAGGAGGAGCAGCTCAGGAGGAGCAGCTCAGGAGGAGCAGCTCAGGAGGAGCAGCTCAGGAGGAGCAGCTCAGGAGGAGCAGCTCAGGAGGAGCAGCTCAGGAGGAGCAGCTCAGGAGGAGCAGCTCAGGAGGAGCAGCTCAGGAGGAGCAGCTCAGGAGGAGCAGCTCAGGAGGAGCAGCTCAGGAGGAGCAGCTCAGGAGGAGCAGCTCAGGAGGAGCAGCTCAGGAGGAGCAGCTCAGGAGGAGCAGCTCAGGAGGAGCAGCTCAGGAGGAGCAGCTCAGGAGGAGCAGCTCAGGAGGAGCAGCTCAGGAGGAGCAGCTCAGGAGGAGCAGCTCAGGAGGAGCAGCTCAGGAGGAGCAGCTCAGGAGGAGCAGCTCAGGAGGAGCAGCTCAGGAGGAGCAGCTCAGGAGGAGCAGCTCAGGAGGAGCAGCTCAGGAGGAGCAGCTCAGGAGGAGCAGCTCAGGAGGAGCAGCTCAGGAGGAGCAGCTCAGGAGGAGCAGCTCAGGAGGAGCAGCTCAGGAGGAGCAGCTCAGGAGGAGCAGCTCAGGAGGAGCAGCTCAGGAGGAGCAGCTCAGGAGGAGCAGCTCAGGAGGAGCAGCTCAGGAGGAGCAGCTCAGGAGGAGCAGCTCAGGAGGAGCAGGTCAGGAGGAGCAGGTCAGGAGGAGCAGGTCAGGAGGAGCAGCTCAGGAGGAGCAGCTCAGGAGGAGCAGCTCAGGAGGAGCAGCTCAGGAGGAGCAGCTCAGGAGGAGCAGCTCAGGAGGAGCAGCTCAGGAGGAGCAGCTCAGGAGGAGCAGCTCAGGAGGAGCAGCTCAGGAGGAGCAGCTCAGGAGGAGCAGCTCAGGAGGAGCAGCTCAGGAGGAGCAGCTCAGGAGGAGCAGCTCAGGAGGAGCAGCTCAGGAGGAGCAGCTCAGGAGGAGCAGCTCAGGAGGAGCAGCTCAGGAGGAGCAGCTCAGGAGGAGCAGGTCAGGAGGAGCAGGTCAGGAGGAGCAGGTCAGGAGGAGCAGGTCAGGAGGAGCAGGTCAGGAGGAGCAGGTCAGGAGGAGCAGGTCAGGAGGAGCAGCTCAGGAGGAGCAGCTCAGGAGGAGCAGCTCAGGAGGAGCAGCTCAGGAGGAGCAGCTCAGGAGGAGCAGGTCAGGAGGAGCAGGTCAGGAGGAGCAGGTCAGGAGGAGCAGGTCAGGAGGAGCAGGTCAGGAGGAGCAGCTCAGGAGGAGCAGGTCAGGAGGAGCAGGTCAGGAGGAGCAGGTCAGGAGGAGCAGGTCAGGAGGAGCAGGTCAGGAGGAGCAGGTCAGGAGGAGCAGGTCAGGAGGAGCAGGTCAGGAGGAGCAGGTCAGGAGGAGCAGCTCAGGAGGAGCAGCTCAGGAGGAGCAGCTCAGGAGGAGCAGCTCAGGAGGAGCAGCTCAGGAGGAGCAGCTCAGGAGGAGCAGCTCAGGAGGAGCAGCTCAGGAGGAGCAGCTCAGGAGGAGCAGCTCAGGAGGAGCAGCTCAGGAGGAGCAGCTCAGGAGGAGCAGCTCAGGAGGAGCAGCTCAGGAGGAGCAGCTCAGGAGGAGCAGCTCAGGAGGAGCAGCTCAGGAGGAGCAGCTCAGGAGGAGCAGCTCAGGAGGAGCAGCTCAGGAGGAGCAGCTCAGGAGGAGCAGCTCAGGAGGAGCAGCTCAGGAGGAGCAGCTCAGGAGGAGCAGCTCAGGAGGAGCAGCTCAGGAGGAGCAGCTCAGGAGGAGCAGCTCAGGAGGAGCAGCTCAGGAGGAGCAGCTCAGGAGGAGCAGCTCAGGAGGAGCAGCTCAGGAGGAGCAGCTCAGGAGGAGCAGCTCAGGAGGAGCAGCTCAGGAGGAGCAGCTCAGGAGGAGCAGGTCAGGAGGAGCAGGTCAGGAGGAGCAGCTCAGGAGGAGCAGCTCAGGAGGAGCAGCTCAGGAGGAGCAGCTCAGGAGGAGCAGCTCAGGAGGAGCAGCTCAGGAGGAGCAGCTCAGGAGGAGCAGCTCAGGAGGAGCAGCTCAGGAGGAGCAGCTCAGGAGGAGCAGCTCAGGAGGAGCAGCTCAGGAGGAGCAGCTCAGGAGGAGCAGCTCAGGAGGAGCAGCTCAGGAGGAGCAGCTCAGGAGGAGCAGCTCAGGAGGAGCAGCTCAGGAGGAGCAGCTCAGGAGGAGCAGCTCAGGAGGAGCAGCTCAGGAGGAGCAGCTCAGGAGGAGCAGCTCAGGAGGAGCAGCTCAGGAGGAGCAGCTCAGGAGGAGCAGCTCAGGAGGAGCAGCTCAGGAGGAGCAGCTCAGGAGGAGCAGCTCAGGAGGAGCAGCTCACCTCAGGGAAATGCACCACTTGAGCGTTGGGCACAAGGGCGGGTGGTGGCTGCGCCATGTGTGGGCGGGCGTATTTGTCCTTTCCCGCCCACAGCACGAGCACCCTGTGCGGCACGGGTACCGGGCGGCTGAACCGCCACAGCCCCCTGAGGAACGCCCTGTGGTACGAGATGCCAGCTGTCAGCGCGCCATTGGTGGAGAAGGCTTCCACGTGGCTGAGGCAGAGTGAGCAGTTGGAAAAGGATGGGGGGAGAGAGATAGGGAAGGGGGGGAAGAGGGGGGGGGGGTTACTACACACGGGCACATGGGAGCTGCATGTGAGAATCGCAGGCACACACGGCATGTAGAACAGGAGAGAGGAGTGTATGTATGTATGTGGTAAGGCCATGCTCACATGGCAGTGGCATGAGAAGCGAGAGCTTTGCCATGCCTGACATGCCTGACATGCCTCACATGCCTGACATGCCTCACATGCCTCACATGCCTGACATGCCTCACATGCCTCACATGCCTGACATGCCTGACATGCCTGCCATGCCTGCCATGCCTGACATGCCTGACATGCCTGACATGCCTGACATGCCTGCCATGCCTGCCATGCCTAACGGGCATGGTTATCCTGGTTTGAGACTCGAGAGTTGGATGGTGTCTGTGAGAATTGGAGAGGCGCTGGCTGGGAGGACTGAAGGAGTTAGCAACCGAACGCGCCACTTCTGCTGTTTCTGCCCCGCTTGATTTCCTCCGACCCCCTCGTTTCTCCCCCTCTCCCTGCCACCTCTCCCCCATCCCATCACCTCGCCATAAGGCCACCGCTGCTTCTTCCTCACACCACTCCCCATCCCCTCCTACCCATTTCCACACCTCTGCACAAGGGCGGGCGGCAGTGGTTGCAAGGGCTCGTTACGGTACACTCGCTGCAGAGCTGCACAGCTGGGGTTGAAGAGGAGATAGGTGGAGAGAGGTATACAGAGGTGGAGAGAGGTGGGGAGAGGTGAATAATGCACGGAACGAGATGACATGGGGGCTTGGGAGCATGGGGGTATAGGAGCATGGGGGTAAAGGAGGATGGGGGTATAGGAGGATGGGGGTATAGGAGGATGGGGGTATAGGAGGATGGGGGTATAGGAGGATGGGGGTATAGGAGGATGGGGGTATAGGAGGATGGGGGTTTAGGGGCCAGATGGTTGAAGGGCTGCATGCTGTGAACCACAGCTATTGCTGCGGCACTTATTGCATTGGATGGCACAGGTGGCTCAGCATGTGCGCGGCTCAGCATGTGTGCAGCTCACTTGTTGCGTCGCAGTAGCCATTCGGGCAGCCATGGCACGAGGAAGAGAACTGCAGGGACGGGGGGTGAGGGCATGAGGACATGAGGTGTGGCGCAAGGATGGATGTGAGAAAGGATTAAGTGGAATCAAGACGAAATCAGCGGCAGACAGGAACGGATGTGCGCGGCATCAGTGTTTATTGCATAAGTGCAACCATTGCTGGCATGGCATGGCATGGCATGGCATGGCACGGTACGGTACGACACGTCATGGCACGGTATGGCATGGCATGGCACGGCAAAGCAGGTCAAAGCACTGCAGCAGTGTGAAGGGTTCCCAGAGAGACAGGCAGCGGTGGAGCCATAGAGGGAAGCAGCGCAAAGCAGAGCAGAGCAGAACAGGCAAAGCAGAGTAGAGCAGAACAGGCAAAGCAGAGTAGAGCAGAACAGGCAAAGCAGAGTAGCAGCACTCACTCCAGTAGAAGCATCTCAGCAGCGTGAAGGGCTCCCAGAGGGACAGGCAGCGGCGGAGTCTGTACACACTGACTACTGTGTCCCCTCAGGTAGCTGCGTCTGCGTCTGCGTCAGGTCAGCTAGCGGCCCCCTGCTCGTGTCGCGCTTTGTCGCACCAGACCGTCCTTTGGCACCACCGTCTTGGTCACCCCTCGGTGCAGCGCCTCCGTGGCATGCACCGACGTCTCATTGTCTCTGGACTTCCAGAGACTCTGCCTCCTCCCCCACCCTCGCCTGCCCCTCCCTGCCTTCCCTGTGTCGAGGGGCGGCAGCGCGCCGCTCCTCACTCCTCCTCGTTCCCCCCGACGACTGCTCCCCTGCAGACCCTACACATGGACGTGTGGGGCCCAGCCCGCGTCCGTGGACAGGGCCGCGAGCGGTACTTTTTGCTGGTCGTTGACGACTACACGCGTTACACCACGGTCTTCCCCTTGCGCACCAAGGGTGAGTTCCCTGATGTTTTGATCCCTTGGATCCGCGCTGCCCGTCTCCAGCTCCGCGAGCGGTTCGAGACAGACTTTCCCGTCCTGCATCTGCACTCTGACAGAGGTGGTGAGTTTGCCTCTGACTTTCTGCGGGACTTTTGTCGTGGGGAGGGCATTCGCCAGACGTTCACGCTCCCGGCCTCACCGCAGCAGAATGGGGTTGCTGAGCGCCGCATTGGCCTAGTCATGGAGGTCGCTCGTACCTCCATGGTCCATGCGGCTGCCCCCCATATTATGTGGCCGTTTGCGGTCCGATACGCTGCGCATCAGCTCAACCTCTGGCCCCGTGTCTCCTTCCCGGAGACCTCGCCCACCCTGCGGTGGACGGGGAAGGTTGGCGATGCGTCGGTGTTCCGGGTCTGGGGTTCTCGTGCCTTTGTCCGCGATACTACCGCGGACAAGCTCTCCGCCCGCGCTATTCCCTGCGTCTTCCTTGGCTTTGTCCCTGACGCGCCTGGCTGGCAGTTTTACCACCCCACCTCGCGCCGTGTCCTGCCCTCTCAGGACGTCACGTTCGACGAGTCGGTTCCCTTTTACCGTCTCTTCCCCTACTGCACTGCCTCTCTCCCCCCCCCCGCCGCTCTTCCTTGCACCAGGTCCTCCTCCGGTAGACCCCCTCCCCGCTCAGGGTCCTGCTCCCTCAGGTGTGTCTCAGGTAGACGCTGTCGAGCCTGTCGAGGTAGCGGTTGACTCTGGTGCTGCTCCTGGGGGTGGTGCTGCTGGAGGTGCTGAGCCTGAGCGTGCGGAGCTTGGGGGTGCTGAGCCTGAGCGTGCGGAGCCTGGGGGTGCTGAGCCTGGGGTTGCTGAGTCTGAGGGTGCGGAGCCTGAGGGTGCTGAGTCTGAGGGTGCTGAGCCTGGGGGTGCTGAGCCTGAGGGTACTGAGCCTGCGGATGCCGAGACTGGGGGTGCTGAGTCTGCTGGAGTTCCTGCAGGGGCCTCGTCTCGGCGGGAGCCTTTCTCTCCACCGCAGCTGCGCGGGTGGTTTGCTCGCCGCTGGAGACTCCAGCGAGGAGCTGCTGGAGCTGCTGGAGCTGCTGGAGCTACTGGAGCTGCTGGAGCTGGAGGTGCTGCTGGAGCTGGAGCTACTGGAGGTCCTGCTGGTGCTGGAGCTGCCGGAGGTGCTCGTACTAGAGGTACTGGAGCTACTGGAGCTGGTGGTGCTGCAGGAGTTGGAGCTGGCGGCGCTGGAGCTGTTGCTACTGGAGGTGCTGCTCGAGCTGGAGCTGCTGGAGGTGCTGGAGCTGGTGGTGCTGCAGGAGTTGGAGCTGGAGGCGCTGGTGATGTTACTGCTGGAGGAGCTGCTGGTGCTGAGGGAGTTGGAGCTGGAGACCCTGGCGCTGGGGGGTACTGGTGCTGTCTCTGCTGGTTCTGGAGGCGCTGCGCGGCCGCGGCCATACTTCGTTCCACTCCTTCAGCAGGTTCTTGGTCTTCCGCCTTCTACTGGTCCTACTCCTCCCTTACTGTGTGCGCCGCCTGTCCAATCGCAGTCACAGTTACAGCCAGCCTCTCCACTGCCTGGTCCTTCTCCTTACTCTGGGCCGACTAGGGGTCTTACGGAGCGTCGTGAGCCTGAGTCTCGACCTGAGTCGCCTGTTCGCGCTGTTCGCACTGGTCGTCGTGTTCCGCGTCAGCGTCCTCTTGCTGTCCCAGGCACACACCAGATGGCACTTCGTCCTTCCACTGCTCCACAGCGTGTCCCTCTACCGTCTCCTCCTGCGTCCTCTCTTCCTGACGTCCCTGACCCACCGTTAGACCTTGCTCGTGCTGCCAGTCCTACTGTCACGCGTCTTCTCGCTACGGTTGTCACTGACCCTTCGTTTGAGTCCACTGCTGCGTCTGCCCTAGTTGCTGAGCTTGTTGACTTTGCTGCCGCCTGTCGTCTAGACTACGCCGCTAGTCTTGTTGCTGCGTCGGAGTCTGTCTGTCCTCCGTCCGTCGGGGGTGAGTGTGCTCTTGGCACGGACGTCCTTGAGGACAGACAGGAGGAGTTTGAGTGCTTTGCCGCTGCTTTACCTCATCTCGTGTCCATGCTGCTTGCACCTGAGGGAGACCCGGATGCACCAGACATCCCGGCCCCGCGCTCTTACGCAGAGGCGATAGAGGGTCCCTACTCCTCTCAGTGGCAGACAGCCATGGACGCAGAGATGGCTTCCTGGAAGTCCACAGGCACCTACGTCGACGAGGTTCCCCCGCCTGGGGCGAACATCGTCAGTGGCATGTGGATTTTCAGGGTGAAGCGGCCGCCTGGTTCTCCGCCTGTCTTCAAGGTGCGTTACGTTGCACGAGGCTTCAGTCAGCGACAGGGAGTTGACTTCTTCCAGACCTTCTCCCCTACCCAGAAGATGACCACTCTTTGGGTACTGCTGCACGTCGCTGCTAGCGTGACTACGAGATTCACTCTCTTGACTTCAGCACAGCCTTCCTACAGGGCAGCCTGCACGAGGAGATCTGGCTGCGCCGCCCACCTGGCTTCACTGGGTCGTTTCCTGCTGGTACCCAGTGGAGCCTCCGGCGGCCAGTCTACGGTCTCCGCCAGGCGCCCTGAGAGTGGCACGACACACTGAGGATGACTCTTGCGGCTCTTGGGTTTGCTCCTTCTACTGCTGACCCGTCGCTGTTTCTACGCACCGACACCTCTCTGCCGTCGTTCTACGTCCTCGTGTACGTTGACGACTTGGTTTTTGCTACTGCTGACACTGAGGGACTCGCCCACGTGAAGTCGGAGCTGCAGAAGAGACACACGTGCACAGACCTGGGTGAGTTGCGCAGCTATCTTGGCTTGCAGATCACCCAGGACAGAGCACAGCGCACCATTACCTTGACTCAGTCACACATGGTGCAGCAGGTCCTTCAGCGCTTCGGCTTCACGTACTCCTCGCCACAGTCCACTCCTCTGCCTACTCGCCACTCGCTCTGAGCTCTGCCTTCGGATGAGTTCCTAGAGCCGAGTGGCCCGTATCCAGAGCTTGTGGGCTGCCTCATGTACCTGATGACCTGCACTCGACCTGACCTGGCATACCCTCTTAGCATCCTGGCACGCTATGTTGCTTCTGGGAGACACTGGAAGGAGCACATGGATGTCGCTAAGAGGGTGTTGCGCTACTTGTGCAGTACGTCGGGCATGGGGCTCGTGCTTGGAGGACGGGCTCGAGTTGTCCTCACTGGTCACGCAGACGCTTCCTGGGCTGACGACTTGGCTACGCAGCGGTCGTCACAGGGTTACACTTTCAGCCTTGGCTCCGGCTCTGTTTCATGGCGGTCTACCCGCTCGTCTTCTGTTCTCAGCTCCAGCTGTGAGGCTGAGATCTACGCAGGGGCCATGGCTGCACAGGAGTTACGCTGACTCACCTACCTGCTGACCGACCTGGGAGAGCCGCCTCGTCTCCTCCAGTTCTGTACGTCGACAACAAGGCCATGATTGCCTTGTGTCAGGAGCACAGACTGGAGCACAGAACGAAGCACATCGCTCTGCGCTACTTCCTTTCTCGAGAGTTGCAGCAGCGTTGTCAGCTTCGTCTTGCTTACGTGGCCACTCAGGCCACCACTGCTGATATCTTCACCAAGGCACTTCAGCCTTGTGATCATCAGCGTTTCTGTACTGTTCTAGGCCTTGTGCCTACTTGGCCTCACTTGCTCACTTCTTGACTTTGCTTGTACTGTGATCTCTATACATATACCTGCATGCTTACACTTGCTAGGTTGTGATCACTGTACTGCTTGTTCTCCTTTATATAACTCTGCATTTGAACTGGCCTTGTGGCCATTTGCTTGTGCTCAGAATGCGTGGTGACGTTGTGATCCACCCTGAGCTTGCTTTGCTTTTCTTGACTGGTCTTGTGACCTCTTGTTCTCCCCCACTTTGCCTATGGGGGTGTGTCAAACTTATATGACATAGTCTGTGTAGGCTGTAGTGGGGTAGTCAGTTTGGTGTACAACACTTTTAGGTTTTCCTACTTGTACCCACCTGCTTGCTAATTCAATCATTCCTCGTTCTATCTTTCACAAGCGGTCCCCTGCAGCTCGACGAAGCCTGTCGAGCAGCTCTCCCACTGTGAACGGTCAGTTGCTACTCCCGTACATTCGACCAAGTCATCGGCGTTGCCCAAGCGAGGGCGGGGCCAACACTCCATTCCCGTTTACAGATACGATGTGCGCAGATTAGCTGAGGGCTGAGAGAGCCTTCGAGATCTGCCGGCGGTTCTAGTGTCCTCGGAGGCAATGGACGTATCAATGAAATCTGTTTTCAACAACATGGACGCCAGTAATGGGACGATCAAGCCACAAAATGCATACTTGTCGCATCATATCACCAGTGGCCTTGATGATAAGAAAAATCGTAATCAACCACTAAAAAACGTACACATCAGCTTCAAAATTTACCAACAACGGAATCATCTCTCCGCACGGACACCAAATATAACAATCTCGCAAACCAAGAGATTGATTTACCGTACATCTGGAAGACGTTTTGTAAAAAACACACAAGACAACTACTTTCTAGATCATACATTGCAGCCATTAACCCTCGAAAACCAAATATATTCGATGCATCGGTTAACGGTAAAAACACAACACATTTACCGAACGCTAATGTATGAAAAAAAAACTACAAAGAACTAACAACTCATACCCCCTTCAAGGACCAGGCCCGTTCCGAGTGGCTCCCATGCCCTGCATCTTCACCCTTGTCATCACCCGTGCTCATGGAGTATGCACCTAGCTTCTCCTTAGTCTTCTTGCGCGCGGATGACACGTTCTCAACAAGCACAGTTTCCTTGCTGCATCCCTTCTCGCCATCACCCTCAGACTCCATGGTACCAGGGCTCTAGATTGGTTTTGGGGCACCCTTGTAAATTAGGGTGCTACCTTAACATTTGGCCCATGGCTAGGGTGAAAAAATGAGTACCCTTTCCTAAAAAGGGCAATTCCCGGTTTCGAAGCAATCATCTTGATCCAATCAGTGTAAGAGTTTCATTACAGTGTTTAATAACAGATTTATGCACTATTCTGATATATTGAGTGGCATTGTGGCCGTGCTTGTTGGAAACCACAGTCGGCCAGGCTGGCGGCCGGGCTAAATGTAGTGGCTGTTTTGATATGGGCGGGGATTTGTTTGGTAGTCCAATCACGTGACGACTGTTTGTGGCAGTTTCTGTTTCAGGGTAAATTTTTGACCACCCTTTTTCGCCAGGGTAGAAATCATTTAACTCCGATTCAATCAGGGTAACAATTCAAATGCATTTATAAGATAAGGGTAAGTGCCAAAACGCGGCCCATAGCAAGGGTAATCAGGGTATTTTACTCGTCAAATGAGGGCCATGCATGGTACCCGCCTGCTCGTCGCCCATCTTCCGCTTCTTCACACGATGCCTTGGTGTAGCCTTCTTCTTAGCTTGCGCATCCTTCCGTTGCAGCTCCTCATAAGTCTCTCTGTACATTCTCCAGCGCCACCACTTACGGGCATCCACCAATGTTTTCAGGATGCGCTCGGTGCAACCCTTCAGCAGTGCCTTTTCAGCGGTTTTCAGCACCTTAGTGTTAGCATTACTCTCGTTGGGACGCAACACATAGGCAGCGACCACGTAAGCATATGCTCCCTCGTCAAGCGTTGTGTACGCCCCTAGCCTTTGCTGACGCCTTCCCCCCTCCTCCTCAATCACCATATTTTAACCCCAAACTTCCCAAAGTCCTTCTCTTCAATCACCCCCGTATACTTCGTGGGCTTCGTACTATGGTCACCGTCAGCATTGCCCTCATCTGCGTTGACTTCAACGTCCGCTTCAAACTCCTTTTTTTTCCACCTCTCTGTACCCTCGCAGAGAAACCCCTCCCTGCTACGGCATTCCGAGCACATGGAACGAGGGCGCACCTGGCAAGCTGGCCGGAGTAAATGAAGCCGGTCTTGGCAAGGCACTCCCTGGCGATTGCTGCCAGCACACCCAACATCCCGTCCGCCACACTACCCTTGCTCCCACTGCCGCGGTTTCCCACACTGCCGCTTCCGCTGCCACTGCCATTCCCCCTGTTGCTGATTCCGCTGCCGCTGCCGATGTTGCTGCCACTCCCTCTGCTGGCGCTGCCGGTAGTGTTGGTGGCTCAAGGAGAGAGCATATTAGCAAGAGCGAGAAGGAGGAGGCGGAGGGGGAGGAGGGGGGGATGAGGAAGGAGGAGGGGAAGGAGGAGAAAGGACTGGCATGGCTGGTAAGGCTATGGAGTGTGGATGGTGTGTTGGGAATGGTGGGTGCGTTGGGAGTGGTGGTGAGAGTGCTGAGTGCACTTGCTGTTGCGCTGGCCACCCCTGCTGTAGTAGTAGCCGCGTTTGCACTGCAGAATGGGAAAGAGAAGTGTATGGGCGACGAGGGAAGACAGAGGGGCACATTAAGGTTGAAGTGGCTGCGTTTGCAGTGATGTGTGGGCGACGCGAGGGGATGGGGAGTTAGTGAGAAGTTAACACCTTGCTGCAGCACTCGTGGTGACCGCTGCTTAACTGGAAGTGAGGGGGAACAGGGGGATGTATCAAAGGTGAACTTGTTTTACAGTGCACGACAACAACATCTTGCGTAGCGCTATTGACCCCAGGTATACTTTTGACACGTCTCAAAAGTTTTCCACAGTTCAAGGAGAACAGCATTTTGCAGCAGCGCTATTGACCCCAGCTGTAGTGGTGGTTGCATTTGCACTGAAAAAAAGGAAGAGGAGTGTGTGGGCGGCGAGGGGGAATGGGGGAAATATGACCCCTCACTGGGAATGGGGGAGGTATGGGCGGTGATCATTGATTCATTCTCAGTGGATATAGGCGAGGGCGGAGTGGCATGGTAGCACATGGCTGACCACTCCCATGCATATGCACAAATCTGTGTACCTCTTGGCATGGGTACAAGACTGCCCACCTCTTGGCATGAGCACACGACTGCCCACCTCTTAGCATATCGGGAGAAGTCCCAGAGGATATAGGTGAGGGAGGAGCGGCGAGACAACACCCAGTTGAGGTATGCCAGTGCTGCCGCATGTCAGGAATATGTCATATGGCATGTCAATAAAGTCATTGTTCACCTCTTGGCGTATCGGGAGAAGTCCCAGTGGATGTAGGTGAGCGCGGAGCGGCGTGACAGCACGCGGTTGAGATACGCCACTGCCATGGCGAACTCCCTCCGAAGAATCATCTCCCGAGGGTGCTTCTCCACTGTTTGGCAGGGGGGATGGGAGAGCGGAGGGGAGAGGGGAGAGAACGGGAGAGGGCGAGGGGAGAGGGCATTTATCTGAGTCGACTTAAAGCAAGGGTGCACTTCGGGGGGTGGGGGACCCAAAGGTTTATCACTTGGGTTGTGTGGTTACCAGGTTTGGTGTTGGGGGATTGACACGACTTGGGGGGGAAGGGGAAGTGCGACCTAGGGGAAAGGGGATCTGCGACCTGGGGGGGAAGGGGAAGTGCGACCTGGGGGGGAAGGGGAAGTTCGACCTGGGGGAGAGGGGAGGAGCGACTTGGGGGGGAAGGGGAAGTGCGACCTAGGGGAAAGGGGAGCCACGACCCGGGGGAAACGGGAGGAGCGACCTGGGGGGGAAGGGGAAGTGCGATCTGGGGGAAACGGGAGGAGCGACCTGGGGGAAAGGGGAAGTGTTACCTGGGGGAAAGGGGAGGAGCGAACTGGGGGGAAGGGGAAGTGCAACCTGGGGGAAATGGAGGAGCGACCTGGGGGGAAGTTGAAGTGCGACTAGGGGGAAAGGGGTAGGGCGACCTGGGGGGAAGGGGAGGTGCGACCTGGGGGACAGATGGGAAAGGAAAAGGGAAAGGGTTTCATCCCTAGAGGCGACGAGGCGAGGTGTGGAGGCGAAGGCGATGAGGCGGCGACCTGGCGGCGACACGCCGTTGAGGAGGCGTGGCGACGAGGCGGCGATGTGGCGGCGATTGCATAAGCGAGGTGGCGAGGCGGCGATGAGGCGGCGATCTGGAGTTTACATTGGCAAGGCGGCGATGTGCCGGCGAGGCTCCTATACGTCGGCGATGACGAACATGTGCGGCGAGCCGGTGTTGTGGCTGCGATGTGGAGATGGGAACGCATGGTGGCTCTCGGTCCGCAAAGATGGTGCAAGGCGGCACTAGAGGTCGCACGACCAGGGCGTGATGCAAAAAGGAGGCGAGTTTGGTGGGGAGGCGAGAGGATGAGGCGCAGTGAACCCGGCTAGTGGGGGATCATGCCGTTTATGTTGTGCCACGGCGTTCCCGGAGGAACGATGGGAGAACGATGCACCTCTTGCCTGGTCACTACGCGCTCGTGCCGTGCAGCCGGCGTTCGAATGCGATGACCAAAGCCTAAACACGTGTGGGGTGTGACACTCTACTACGTACTATGTCGCCGTTGCGCATCGAACTTATTCTTAGTAGCGTGATGGCTTACCAACTCTAAGTTCAGATTTGTCAGGTTGATGGGGACATGTTTTCGCATCCCCTTGGTTGTTTGCGCTGAGGAGTTGAGTTCCGCCCCACTGCCGGGGGATCTTGCCAAACCGAACCCTGAACGAAATTGGTTGGCGTTGCTATTTGTTGTTTCCTCACCTCGCATCCGCTTTACAAATCCTTCTTACTTCGCTAGCAAACCAGCAATTCTCATTGGGTGTACACTAACAGTGCCCCCAAAATCCACGCCCATGAATGTGCACCCTTGCTTTAAAGGCATGACATAAAACACTGTACCGTGACGAGATTGAGGATGATGATCTTGGTGCCTAAAAGCATGCTTCACTTCACACACCGCAGCCTCTCATTCCAAGCCAAGCAAGGCAGCACTGCAGTAGGCACCACACGGATGAGGTTGAGGATGATAATTGGTCGACCGTACCACTCCATAAGGTCAGGAGGGCAGCAGGCACTATAGCGTACCATACTATACCGCATCGTACCGTGATAAGGTTGAGAATGATGATGGGGCGACCGTACTGCTCCATGAGGTAAGGAAAGCAGTAGGCACTGTGGCATACTGCACTGTACCGCACTGCACCTTGATGAGGTTGAGGATGATGATGGGGCGGCCGTACCGCTCCATGAGATTCTCAAAGTGCAACCGCGCTGCTGTGTACATGGGGTTGTAGCGATACACTGCATTTACAGAGAGGCATGGGAAGCATAGCGTAGATAAGGAGGCATATAATGAGTATAAGCCCATGTTTATACAAAGTGCTACCGCGCTCTGTGTACATGGGGTCGTAGCGGTGCACTGCACAGACATAAGCACGGTGGCATAGTGAAGAGGCATAGTGAGGACGCATAGAGAGCATGTAATGAGGATGAGCCCATGAATAGAAAAATGCAGCCGTGATGCTCTGTACATGGGGTCATAGCGATTGTGAGGATAAAAAATCTGGTTATGAAATTATTATTTGAATCCTTGGTACAAGGTCGTGGCTATATATAGGCATGACACAGGGGTGGTAACCAGGATGTTACGTGAAGGTTCCGAGGGTCGCGAAGCGTCCCGAATGGATCCTTCCCGAATTCGGTAGAAGTTGTTCGGTGTGAACCGAATAGCACTGAATTCGGTGCACGCAACCTAGTTCTGTCGCTATAACTATAATAAATATAGTAAAGCAACGAACCTAGGAAATCAAGCAAAAGAATGCTAGATAATGCATAAAAAAGCAGAATCAAGCAAGTAAAGGTTAGCAAAGCCGTCGTACTCTCACACGTCCCCCCCTCAAAGCTGGGTGGCGTGAGAAACACCCTGCTTGACAAGATAATCATAGAGAGCATGGCGTGTGTTGCCCATATCAGCTTCTGCAACCCAACTTTCCTCTGTTGGGTCATATCTCTTCCAGCGTATCAGGAACTCAAGCGTGTTGCCGCGCCGGCGTCGATGAGCGAGCACTCATTCTACCTCGTACTCGGCTCGTCCTGTACGAGAACAGGTGGTGGTGGCGGTAGCTTTCGTCCCGTAACTGTTGGTTGGGGTCCTTGTAGGGCTTCAGTAGCTGAACATAGAAAGTGTTGTGAAGCTTCCACGTGGTAGGTAAGCGCAAGCGGAATGTAACTGGAATCACCATCGCCTCAAAGCGAGAGGGACCACAGAAGCGAGGCCGGGGTTTGGACGGAAGATGAGACAAATTCAAGTTGCGTGTGTCGAGAAGCACCTGATCTCGGACTGCTACTGAGTGATCACACCGTTGTCGATCGGCATACTTCTTCTGGGAGTTCTGCATCGTGGTGAGACGTCGCTGAGTCTTCGCCCAAAGCTGCTCCATGGTGGTGACAAAGTCGTGTGCGGCTTTGATGTGTGCAGGTGTGGTTGGCTGCTGTGGAGTAAGTGGTTCCCGTCCGTAGCACAGGAAGAAAGGAGATTTCCCAGTGGCCGCATGTGAAGCGTTGTTGTAAGCGAACTCAAGTGTCGGTAACTGTAAATTCCAGTGGTTGATGTCGTCTTTGCAAGCTGTACGCAGTAATTGTTCAACCACCTGATTGAGTCGCTCTATCTGTCCGTCCGTCTGGGGGTGGTATGCCGAAGACATCGCAAGCTTTGTCCCCAACAAACCCATGAGTTCCCTCCAGAACTTACTAGTGATTTTTGGTTCCCTGTCTGAGATGAGTGTAGTGGGGATGGTGTGGATGGTGATGATGCGGTTGAAGAAGAGGTGAGCAGTTGCTTCAGCTGTAGCCGTGGCGTTGGTCGGGATGAAGTGTCCCATTTTAGAGAACTTATCGATCACTACGAGTATAGCATCATGCTCTCGTGAGGTTGATGGAAGCCCAGTGATGAAGTCGAGTCTAACGACTTGCCATGGCTGCTCCGGTACGGGTAGAGGCTGAAGTAACCCTGTTTTTTTCTGCTTTCTACTCTTCATCCGCTGGCACGTGTCGCATGAGGTGACGAACTGCTGCACGTCTGCTCCCATCCGGGGCCAGTATTAATACTTTGCTATCCGTGCGAACGTCTTGTTACTCCTGAAATGTCCCGCGTATGCCACGTCGTGAAATTCCTCCAGTAAGATCTGTCGGAGCGAGGCATAGTTCGGTACCCAAATCTTTCATGAACTCTTCTTTATTGCTAATTCTTTCTCCCACTGTAACAACTTCTGTTTCTGTGCTGTAGCGATTTCTGCGTCCAAGGAGTATTCATGTTGGAATAGACGCTTGAGTAGAGGGTTCATCCCCTTGAGCTGGATGCTTGCTACGTGCCCTGGGCGGCTCAGTGTGTCGCCCTTGTTATGTAGCCCTGGCTTGTAGACGATGTCGTAGTGAAAGTGGTTATCCAGGAAGTCCATCCACCGCACCTGTTTTCGTGAGAGCGTACGCTGCGACTTAAGGTATTTGAGACTGCAGTGGTCAGTGTAGACTGTAGTCTTGGCTCCCTTTAGCTAACACCTCCATGCCTTGAAGGCTGTGACTATCGCTAAGGCTTCCTGGTCATGGATTGAATAGTTCAGTTCTGCTCCGTGTAGCTTCTTACTGAGGTAAGCGATGGGCTGCAAGCCGCGTCCGTGATCCTGCATCAGTACTGATCCTGGTCACCAGCGTCTGCTTCCACCAAGTAATCTCTGCCTGGATCCGGTAGGATGAGTTCTGGCTCTGTAGTCAGTGTTGTCTGTAGCTACTCCATGGCTTGCTGTTGAGGAGTATCCCATTTATAGGGCGTATCCTTTTTCAGTAAGTTCGTCAGTGCCGCTGCCATGTTAGCGTACTGTGGCTGGAACCCGTTGTAGTAATTGGCGAAGCCTAGGAACTGCAGCAACCCCTTGACGTTCTCCGGTACTTTCCACTTCTTGACGGCTTCGATCTTCCGCGGGTCCACGTGTACGCCCTCCGCACTCACCATGTGCCCGAGAAACTGCACTTTCTTCAATGCGGAGTCGCTTTTCGACAGCTTCACGTAGAACTTGTTCTCCCGCAGGATCTCGAAGACTTTCCGTAGATGCTCCACGTGCTCCTTCATGTTCTTGGAGTAGATCAGAATGTCGTCTAGGTACACCACCACGCACTCGTCCAACAGGGGCCGTAGGATATGGTTCATCTCTGCTTGAAATGTCGCTGGTGCGTTGCAGAGTCCAAACGGCATCACTAGGTATTCGTAGGAGCCATATATGGTACGGAACGCCGTCTTGTGGATCGAGTTGTCTACCATCTTGATCTGCCAGTTACCCGACCGTAGGTCCAGCTTCAAAAACACTGTTGCACCATGCTGTTGGTCTAGAAGATCGTCTATGCGCTGTATGGGGTATTTGTTTTTTACTGTCTGTTTGTTCGGTGCCCGGTAGTCGATGCACATCCGTAAACTACCGTCCGGCTTAGGAGTGAAGAGAACGGGTGTGCCGTAGGGAGAGGTGGATGGGCGGATCAGTATTATGTCCACTAGGTACTCTATATTATTCTTCATGTCTGTCAGCTCGGTCGGACTAAGGCGGTATGTTGTACGGGAGATGGGTTTTGCACCTGATTCCTCCACAATCTCGTGTTCGTGGGTTCGGGCTGGAGGAGCTCCTGCAGGCAAGTCATCCGGCATGATGTCCTTGTACTCCGTTAACACCTCCTGTACTGCTGCAGGTAGCTCCGAGCTCGGCTTCTCCTCCTCTGCTGCTGCCATCACCAGTGCTAAGTAACCCGTGTTACTGTCGTTCACTGCCCGCTCGAACCGTGCAAGTGTCGTTTTAGGAACATCCCCCTGTATCTGTCCTGCTTCGCAGCTCCACACGTTTCTTGTTGTTGTCGATGCACGCCTTCCGTTTGACAGTCGATCTCGGGATGAACCGGTTCAGAACACGCCCCAAGATGAAATCCATACCCTTGATGTTCGTGATTGGCAACGTCGGTTTCCACCTCAGCGCACCTATCTGCAGCTGTAGCGTTGACTCGCCGTGGATGGGTAGCTTTGTGTCGTCCACCATCGTTGCTGTAAACCGGGTCTCCTCCAAGGACTCCTCGCTTTTCTCCAATGTCCCGTGGTCGCACACCGAGTGGGACGCACCATTGTCCACCATTACCTGGAGGCGCCGCCCTTTGCAGAGCACCTCGAGCAGTAGTGGTTGTTGTCGCTCCAAGTAGCCGTAGATGGTGTTGCAAAAAAGGATCATAGTCTACATCAAATGTATCATCCCTAGGTCATGCGCTCGAAGCTACAGCTTCAATATCATTTTTCACCTGGGTAGGGTTAGAAGGGATTATCCCAGGCCGATTCAACTTCTCCTGGGCCCAGAACCTTCCCCTAAGCCTTTGCAGCTGTGTAGGCTTCACCTCTGAGGAACGGGGAGCATTAACACCGTGCTGCTGGGAGAGAATAATAACTCCTCGGAACGCTCGACCCTTATTAACGCTCCAGAGTGGGGTCCCCATCTTTTCAGGTACCTGAATAATTTCTAGCTCTCCGTTGATTTTTTCAAAGGCTTTAAAATCACGAAAGTAATATTCGTAGTTAAAGTATCTTTATAGGATAACTTTAACAAATTCTTACTTGTCGGGGTGTACGGCTGGAGTTTCACGGTTGGTGCGGGGTCTTGTTTCGCGGAGTCTCCTTTTGTCTCGACGATTTCCCCTGGTGCCGGCTAAACCCTAAACCCTAAATTCGCGCCATCATATTCTCCCTTTTTTGCCCTTTCCGAAGTCGCCACGTTGTCCGTTTTCTGCTTGGGGGGTGCCGCACTGTTCTTGCCTTCAACTCCGCACGTGTTTTCTTCATTTTCCAACATGCCAAGATACGATGTCCTGTAGCGCCGCAAAATTCGCACGTCTCATTTTGCTAGCCGCTGCATCGCATCGACCTTGTCGATCTCCATCGAGTCGGCAGTCGTAGGTGGCGCCAATCGCTCCGTGCCAAAATCCCTATTTGGCTGGTTGATTCGTATTAGGTAGTAGCTACTGTTCAACGTGTTGAACCGTTCGATCAGTGCTGCCCGGAACTGCGCCCACGGCCCTTCACCTTGGAAAATTTTGTTGTTTGCGTAAATCCACTCTAGAGCCGGGCCTTGTAACAGTGTTGCTGCGAGCCGTATGCGCATCGCGTCTTCGTTCGGGGTCATGCATCCAACGGCTTCGAAGTAGTTTTCTAGTATAGCTACAAATCGGCGAACGTCGCTCCTTTTCGCGCTAGGATCGAACGCCTCCGGTAACCTCAGCTTCGCTACTTCGAGGTTGACTGTAGCCGCTGCCGTTGTCGCATGTACAATTGTCGTTGTCGTCGCCGTCGCTGCTGCATTTGCTGCTGCGTTCGTTGATGCCGTGGCGACTGCCGCCTGGTTCGCGAGTAACGCCTCAATTCGTAACTCCGTAATTTCTTGTACGAAATTATCACCAATTTCCTCCATTTGGCGTTTTGCAAGAAGATTTCCGACGAAAATAAATGAAATATGTGCGCTGGTCGACTTACTGCGAAACGAATCGACTTCCGAATCGTCGAGCGCGGTTTCTGTATGTTGCGCAATTTTCCCTTAGCCGAATTTTCGTCCGCTCACGGCCGTTGAGAAGAAACTCGATATGACGCTCCAAATTCCAACCTTTTTGGGCGAATTCTCTAGGCCGTTGAGATGTGATTCGATCGGAAAGGCGAAATTCCAGCCTTTTCGCCAATAAACCTGAGGAGTGTTCGAAAACCGGATCGAGGGGGGCTTTTAAAAAATTGAGCAGAACTGTTTTACATACCCGAATCGGCGCTTTTGTCGTCGCCCCCGCGGTTTTTTTAAGACTGGAATTAAGCGGTTGAAGACCTCGCGTGAGAACCTGCTCTAATTACCAAGTGTGAGGATTGAAGAAATGGTTCATAAATTATTATATGAATCCTAGATACAAGGTCATGGCTATATATAGGCATGACACATGGGCGGTAATTAGGATGTTACGTGAAGGTTCCGAGGGTCGCAAAGCGTCCCGAATGGATCCTTCCCGAATTTGGTAGAAGCTGTTCGGTGTGAACCGAATAGCACTGAATTCGGTGCACGCAACCTAGTTCGGTGCCTTTAATTATAACGAACTTAGGAAATCAGGCAAAAGCATGCAAGATCTAAGAAAGCTAAGATGGATCATGCATAATAAAGCAGAATCAAGCAAGTAAAGATTAGCAAAGCCGTCGTACTCTCACAGCAATGCACTTCTCACGCAGGGGTATGGGGGAACAAGCATAGTGGAGTGGAAGTGTTGACCAGTGAGGAGGCATATAACGAGGACGAGCCCATGATACTCAAAGTGCAGCCCGGCTTCTGTGTACATGGGATCATAGCGGTGCACTGCACACACAGAAGCACGGTGACATAGTGAGGAGGCATAGAGAGGAGGCATGCAATGAGGATGAGCCCATGAATAGCAAAGTGCAGCCGCGTTGCTGTGTACATACTACATGGGATCATAGCGATGCACTGCTCATGCATAGGGGCATCGGAACCAGCAAATGCAAGAGTGAATATGGGGTCATAGCGGTGCACTACACACACTGTCGCATGGTGGCATATTGAGGAGGCAAAAAACGAGGACAAGGCCATGCCGCTGTGTACATGGGGTCGTAGCGGTGCACTGCACTGCATATACGGAGGACAAGGCCATAATTCGCAAGTGTGGACAGGTGGCAGGCAGTCAATCACAGCACACACCCCGTAATTTTTGTCGTCACTGCTAGAGTAGAACGTCATCGAGGCGGCTGGCTTGTTCAAAAACAGGTATAGCCGGACCATTTTGCAAAGGCGCTACAAACAACATAAAAAATCGGGGTGCGCAAGAGTAAGAATCGAAAGCTCATCCACAAACGAACAAATCATATATACGCTACACAAACAGCAAACAATATAAACAAACCCTGTTAAAAAAATCGAGAATAAACTCACCTTCCAGGCCTTGTCAAAGGGCAGAAGAACGCATATGCCGGTGTCCGCAACGATGGGTGTCCTCGTCCTCGTCCTTCTCCCCGTCCTCGTCGACATCGGAATCAGCTCGTCCAATATCCACACGTACGCGTTTCGGGTTTACAAATCCCTGCCAAGGCTCTCTCCCTACTTCTCCGCTTTGCGACGACGAGATCCGCCGGTAGACTTAGCCAGCGCATTCAACAAGAGAGCTTCCAACCATGCAACATTCTTCGTGTTCTTGTCCTGCGATTGAATAAGACGATCGAAGACAACACAAGAGACGAGCACCTCCTCCGTGTTATTGTCCACATGTCCATCACCACGGCGCGCCGTCGTACTGGCTGCGCACCGCAGCTAAGGGCTCATCCTCCTCCATTTCTTTGAGAACGTCGTTCACTCCAATTGGGGGATCTCATGCGCCACCACGAACATCGTCAACATGCTTGTTCTTCGCCAGGCGGTTACCATGGTCGCTCGTATAATGCGATTCCGATGAGTCGAAGTCGTTACCCCGAGACACGGCCCTCCCGGGAGACACTTCAGATGTCTTGCCGCCGGTCCATTCACCTAAGAACACAATGAGTTGGAACCACAAAATAAAAACTGGACTTCAGTATATATCATATGTCGTATGGTATGCTTACTGAGCGTCTAGCATGCAGCTTTCCAAAAACCCCACACTAAAAGTACGACATAGAAATGCAACGTACCGTCAGCAACGGACATCCTGATTTCACCCTCCCTTGGATAATCCATGCGCTTCAGCAACGCCGTTCCAAGCGTACCCTTCGCAATGCGACCGCGTGGAGTTGACAACTGATACGATGCGGGCAGATAAGCCGGGGGCTGAGAGAGCTTGCGAGATCTGCTGGAGGTATCCATTTTATCATCGAAGAGAGTGATAATTGCACAACTCGGTCACATTCACTCGCGCTTGGTTGTTAGCTCGCTCAGTCACGAGTCGTTCACGAATTACATGTCCTTAGCATGATAATTGTCGTCCATCGCCCACCGCCCATCTCTCCTCGCGCATCGCCCGTCACCCGTCACTCGTCGCTCATCGTCATCTCTCCAGGGCGAAGGGCAGCATGCCCACCTCTCCCCATCTTCCCTCCGCTCACGCTCTCCCTCCCCCCCCCCCCTCCTCCCCCCTTGTTTCCGCTTTGCATTGTTTAGGGTTTACAAGTCCGAATAAGTTTGCAGCTCGCCGAGAATATGTCCGAAGACCCCCCCCCCCCCCCCCCCCCCCCCCCCCCCCTCCTCCCCCCACCTCTCCCCCCACGCCTCTGCTTTGCATTGTCCTCCCCACCCCCGCGGATTGCAGATAATACGCGGCAAGGCGGAGGATATGTCGTTGCCCTTCCAGGCCGACGTTCTCATCTCCGAACCCATGGGCCAGTCAGTACCTTTTCAACTCCGCCCATTTCAGATCATAGCCCGTCACTTCTGTTTCTTTATTCTCGTCCCGGTCTCTCGTCTCACAGCCCTTTCTCCCTCCTTCCACACCCCCAGCCCACACCCTTCATCCTTCACCCCTCACTCATCTTTCCAACATAGCCCGCCTCTTTCGAGGACCCATGCACGCTGCTGGTGACCGGGCGCATGCTGTTGCGGCATCGTCTCCCCATCTATCGCCAACTACCCCGCTGAACCCCCCACACCCCCCTGCCCCCTCACCCGGGCAGGCACGCTGCTGGTGAACGAGCGCATGCCAGCCGGTAGTGGATGCCTTTGACCCGCGCAGCCTCATAGCGCCCGGCACCGCGCACACCATTGATTACAACACCATGCCGGTGCGCCTTGGCCCTTCTGGGGTAATTTGTCTCACAATCCCCCTCCTCCCCCCCCTCACAAAAGAAAGGCTGGAGCTTACCATCTCTCTTCCTCCGCCCATCCCCCACCACCCACTCCCTCTTGGTCCGGCGGGCGCCATGGCTCTACTTGAGCCCATAAAGCAGAAGTACCTCGCCGTCGGCTACTCCCCTTCCCCCACGGTTCTAATCCCCTTCCCCCACAATTCTACCCCCCTTCCCCCACGGTTCTACTCCCCTTCCCTCACTGTTCTACTCCCCTTCCCCCACGGTTCTACTCCCCTTCCCCCACGGTTCTACTCCCCTTCCCCCACAATTCTACTCCCCTTCCCCTACGGTTCTACTCCCCTTCCCTCACGGTTCTACTCCCCTTCCCCCACGGTTTTACTCCCCTTCCCCCACGGTTCTACTCCCCTTCCCACACGGTTCTACTCCCCTTCCCCCACTGTTCTACTCCCCTTCCCCCACGGTTCTACTCCCCTTCCCCCACGGTTCTACTCCCCTTCCCCCACGGTTCTACTCCCCTTCCTCCACGGTTCTACTCCCCTTCCCCCACGGTTCTACTCCCCTTCCCTCACTGTTCTACTCCCCTTCCCCCACGCTTCTACTCCCCTTTCCCCACGGTTCTACTCCCCTTCCCCCACGGTTCTACTTCCCTTACCCCACGGTTCTACTCCCCTTCCCCCACGGTTTCACTCCCCTTCCCCCACGGTTTCACTCCCCTTCCCCCCCGGCTCCACTCCCCTCCCCCCCCGGCTCCACTCCCCTTCCCCCACGGTTCCATTCCCCTCCCCCTTCGGTTGCACTCCCATTCCCCCACGCTTCCACCTCCCCGTCCCCAACGGTTCCACTCCCTTTCCCCCTCGCTTCCACTGTTTCACTGAACACACGCCCTCCTTATCTCCTCAGCCTTGATACCCTCTCCCCCTATTCCTGAACACTCTCCCTGCAACCCCTTAACTGCCCACCCTTCCCACCCCTCCAAGCAAGGTCGGGGCTTTATGTTTGTGCATAGCATGGGCAGCAAGCCTAGTCCACGTGACGTTGTGTGGGCGCTGAAGGCATGACGATGGGGGAGGGCAGTGCAGGTTACTGCCGTGATTGTGTCTGCCACCCATAGAAGTGCATGCACGAGTATGGTTGAGTGTATCGTTGACCCTACATGCATGCTCTCGGACATGTGTACACATGCACTACATGTTGCCCTTGAGCTTGTTTTGTGCGTTTGTGTCTGCCTACTTTCAATAATCCCTTTGCACAACCTCCATCTCATATCCTTCCCCTCTGGATGCCCGATAATGGCAGGCCAGGCTGGAGGATGGAGGGTCTGAATGTGGGGTGTGGTGGCTGGTGGCCTCTGCTAGAGTGTAAAGTGAAGTTGCATGGCTTCACACCCTGCAATGGCTTCACACTCCCTCACTGCGCCACCACACGCCTCCCTACCCTTGACTCCAGGTGCATCCCATGCTACGAGTTGATTGTTTCGCCATAACCCGGGGGATGTCAATGGAGTGCTATGATCTAGTCTTGACGAAAAAGAGTCGCTGAAATATTAGAGGAGCTGCCGGACCCATTAGGAGTACCTGTAAAATATAAACCACAGGAGACCACGTCCTCAACCCAATAAGCATGCAAACAATGCTAGAGCGTCAGGATGGGGGAGCATGTAGTCATGCCTTGTAATAACACGAGGCTTGTTTTCCCAAGGTCTGTCATGCGATGCATAACAAACACTTGCAGACACCCAGCATCGTGGAGCGGACGGCCTCATGTATCGTCGTAGTAGTCGTGACAAGCAGCACACTTCATATGATAATGCAAAATGCGCCTCCCACGCAACCACCCATCAGAATGGTGGGACGTACACTTCTTTTATAAGGCACCAGAATGGGTGTCTAGCAACAATTTGCATCATGAAGAGGTGCATGTTACGTTGGGTAGCGAGCAATACCACACTGCACAATGAGGGGGACAAAAGACAAGTGCACATATGGGTAAATACATGGTGAGCCATGAGTGGTTCGAAAGCCTAACTGCAACCACCCTCTTGTAGGCAATGACTAGTAGTGCAATACGTCTAGTGGGGGAAAGGTGAGGCATTTGGTGAGTATACTGTGCAAGCCAAGACCATGTGGGTGCGCAAAAGCATGTACATGACTTACAGTGCGCCTCGTTTTCGAGCCACGTCTTGGTATATTTCCTGCAATGTCTGAAATGCTTACATTATGGTCATAGTCATGTAGCCTGCGTGTAGCATGTGATTGTGGGGTGGTTGGGGGGGGGGGGGGGGGGGGGGGGGGGGGGGGGGGAGGAGTGCGGGTAAAGACAGATGTTAGGAGAGGGAGGTGTGTGCAAGAGATGAGGCCATGCTCGAATTGCATGCTGATGCGCATAGTTTGTGTGTAACCAACCTGACCTATTCCATTTGGGTAGAGTATAGTGGTAGTTTCTCACCTGACGGATATCTGTCTTGGACATTTGAAGGGTGCGCGAAAACTTTTCAGAACCGGTCGCTCATCACTTTCGATTCGTTCAGAACTAGTAGGGGGTATGGCTGGTGAGATGATATTAGACGCTTGTTGATGTGGAGCAATGGGGGTGAGAGGTGGAACAATCCGGGCTTCATCGGGTTGGAGAGGTGGGGCTGAATGAGATGGCATGGTTGTTGGAGGGGCTGATACAGTGGGTACGGTTACTGGTGGGGCTTCATCATTTCGGGCAAGTTCATCAGGTTCTAGCCCAACGTCACGCCAATCATACATGACTTTGTCCAGCCACCCCCAGTACACCGCCTCCAGTATCCGCTCTTTACTCCCACGTCGTACCCTGGTCACTTTTCGAACCCGTGTTTTGATTGCCACTATGAGGCGATCCACGGTATGATTCCAATGCAACACCGAGAGTCCTATTCTCGCTAACATACTCCCTTGAAAGCGAATACGTTGAGGAGCATACTTGATCACAAGGCTATGGAACGACTCGTTTACCCAGTTAGACTGTTAGGCCCCTTGGCCTAAATCCGCTAAAGAATAGCGGGGTCGACTAAGTCGAGGATGAAAACGCGGCGGAAGACTTTGGCGAAAGAACTATTGGCGAAATAGGCGAAGGTGTTACTGAGTAATTGAAGAGTTGAATGAGAATTGGTTGATATTGGGGAATACAAGCAAGGTTGATATAGCATGCAAGATCGAATGATGGAAGGTACTTCGCTGGACTAGAAAGTAGAAGCAAGAAACGTAGAGTGCCACGTGGCACAAGGAAATAAAGGAAGATAAGGATAAGGGTGAGTTGGAAAGTACTGTTCAAAGGGAACAGTAAATCCCCCCTTAACACTACCCCCCTCCCAAGGAGGCGACGTCCACGGCGCCTGCAGACTGAAGGTACGCTTGGAGGCAAGCGTTGTTGGGAGACAGCGAGGGCGAATGAACCCAGCTGTCGTCGGCTGCATCGTAACCACGCCAACGAACCAAGAAGTCGATGAAAGAGACACCCCCCTGGAGACGGCGACGGTGCTTGAGGATGCGCTGGATCTGGTAGTCGGGCTCGTCGGTGTCAACAGCTACCGGCAGTGGAGTGCGATCACGGCCTGAGAAGGTGGCGTTGGGATCGGTGTATGGACAAAGGAGAGACACGTGGAATTAGGGGTACATGCGGAAATGAGCGGGAAGACGGAGGCGGTATGCGACTGGACCTAGTGCGCGCTCAATGACGAATGGACCAATGAAACGTGGACGGAGCTTGCTGTCCTGTGGCAGTCGGAGGTTGCGGCTATCCAAAAGGACACGGTCGCCGACTGCAAACGACACCTCACGACGACTGCGGTTGGTGGTGCGTGCCATGCGTGCAATTGCGAGCTCAAGATGCTTCCTCACGTGATCATGAATGAAGGTGAGATGCTGGTGGAAGTTGTCCGCACGAGGTACTGTGGGTGTAAGATCGACACGAGTGGGGACATTGGGGTGCTGACCGTAAAGTGCGAAAAATGGTGACATGCCTGCGGACGAGTGGTGCGTGTTGTTGTAGGCGAACTCGGCCATGCTCAGCTTCTTGTCCCATGCGGCTGCGTCGTGCATCGTGATGCTGCGAAGAATCTGCTCCAAGGCCTGGTTCACATGCTCGGTCTGTCCGTCTGTCTCTGGATGGTACGCAGACGACATGGCTAAGCGAGTCCCGAACAGTGCGTAAAGCTGCTTCCAGAACTTCGAAGTGAAACGAGGGTCGCGGTCTGAGATAATGGAATCGGGAACCCCGTGCAGTCGGAGTACGTTATCTACGAACATCGTCGCGCTTCCTCTGTTGTGACCTTGCCGTGCGTGAGGATGAAGTGCGCTGCTCGAGAAAACTTATCCACTACCACGAAGATGGCATCGTGAACCCTAACTGTGCGCGGTAAAGCCATGATGAAGTCCATCGTAACTACCTGCCAAGGGCGGTCGGGTGGTGGAATCGGCTGCAAAAGTCCTGCTTTGCGCTGGCGAGAGGACTTCGTACGCTGACAAGTGTCGCACGAGCGAATGTAATCCTCTACGTCTGCTGCAAGCCCTGGCCAGAAGTACGTGCGACTAAGCGTCTTAGCCATCTTATCTGCTCCGAAGTGACCCGCGCTAACTACATCGTGCGCCTCGGAAGAAGAACCTATCGAAGAGGGCGGTAGGCGAGAACCCAAATCCATGCTGTCCCCTTCCGAATGTAGACACTACCCTGCACCTCTGCTCCTGCGGGCGGCTGCGGTGTGGAGTCGGGATCTACTGGGTAACCTTGCTCGAAGAGTGCTGTGAGAAGTGGATGGCCGGCAGTGACTGTGAGGCTGGCGAGCTGGCAACTAGGGCGAGTGAGCGGATCTGCTGGTTTGCGCACGCCTGGCTTGTACTCTATCCTGTAGTGGAAACTCCCCTCCATGAACTCCATCCATCTAGCCTGGCAACGACTCAGCTGCGGCTGCGACTTGAGAAAGCGAAGCGAGCAATGGTCTGTGCGTATAACACTATCTGCTCCCTCTAGGTAGCACCTCCACACCTTATACGCATGGATGATCGCGAGCGCCTCCTTGTCGTGAATAGGATAGTTCAGCTCGGATCCCCTAAACTTACGCGACTCGTACGCGATCGGCTGCAACCCGCGGCCCTGGTCCTGAAGAAGTACTGCCCCTATGGCCTGATCTGAAGCGTCGGTCACTACAACGTACGGGCGAGTGGGATCTGGGTACGACAGTGTCGGTGAAGATGTGAGCGACTGCTTCATCTGCTCGAACGCCTGCTGCTGCGCTAGACCCCAATCGAAATCTACTCCCTTCCGAAGTAGGTCGGTGAGTGGACTGAACGAAACGACGGTAGTAATTCGCAAATCCGAGAAAGCTCTGCAGTTCCTTGACTGAGGTCGGAGCTACCCAATCCTGCACTGCTGCGATCTTCTTCGGGTCGGTCCTAATGCCACTAGCGGATACGACGTGACCTAGAAACTCGGCCTTGGGGAGGATGAACTCGCACTTCGACTGCTTAGCGTACAGCTGCTCCCTCCGCAAGACCTCGAAGACCTTCTGCAAGTGCTGCACGTGCTCCTCCTTCGTTTTCGAGAAGATGAGGATGTCTTCCACGTAATCTACGACGAACGGCCCTAGGAACTCGGAGAGGACGGTGTTCATGAGTGTCTGAAACGTCGCCGGGGCGTTGGTCAAACCGAACGGTAGAACCTTAAATTCGTACAACCCCTGCTTCGTACGAAACGCCGTCTTGTGCTGGTCCTCTGGAACTACGCGAATCTGGTGGTAACCCGAACGAAGGTCGATTTTTGAGAAGATTCTAGCGCCTTGCACTGCATCTAGGAGATCATCTACTCTCGGCACCGGAATTCTGTTCTTGACGGTGGCGGCGATCAGTGCACGGTAATCTATGCACATCCGTAACCCTCCGTCTTTCTTGGGTGCGAAAAGGATCGGTGCTGCCCAAGGCGTTCTAGATGGCTGTATGAACCCCTACGCGAGAAAGTGCCTAACCTGCTGCGTCATCTCCTCTGTCTCCGCTGGACTCAACCTCCACTGCGGCTTCGCTACTGGCCTGCTTCCCGGCTC